AGAGTATTGCTCTTTAGAATATAGCTTATAAGTTTATTATATACTTCTTTTTAAGTATTATTAAGTTAGTCTTAAGTTATAAGCAGCTTATTACTGCCTAGTTCTTATTTATTAAACTAATTTACTTTTATAAGACTTCTAAAGGTAAATATAAAACTTCTAAGATAAAGAAATTAATAGTAGCTAGTACTTTTATTTCTTCTATTTCTCTGCTGCCTTGCCTCTAGTGCAGCTGCTATATAGTATTATAAGTAGAGGCAATTAAGTGCAAGAAAGAAGGTCTTTATATTAGTTTGTATTTTAAAGGCAGTCTTAAGCTAGCAATTATTTTAGAACTAGTTTAGAACTAGTTCTAGAACTACAAAAGTTTTTAAAAATTAATATTAAAATATATATATAGTAATATTAATCTACTAATTTATATATATACTAATTATTTATAGTACTAACTTCTTTAAGATAATTTTAAGCTATATATAAAATTTAATCTTTAAGGTAATTTACTTTTATAAAACCTTTAAAGGTAAATATAAAACTTTTAGAATAAAGAAATTAATAGTAGCTAGTATTTTTATCTCTTCTAAATAAGTTACTATCTCTTTAAGCTATAAGTATAACTTATAGAACTTTCTATTAAAAAAGACTTTACTTACTCTTTAAGCTATATAGTATTATTAGCTATAAAGCTTATAAAAAGTAAATTATTAAAGCTTATTAAACTACTCTACTTAATTAAGTAAATTAGTAAAGCTAATAACTTTATATTTAGAGAGAGTATTATAGTTAAAAGTAAATTAAATATACTTAAAGTTAGTAATTATAGTAGATTAAATTAAGTCTTATTTATATTCTCTTATTATAAATATAGAAGATAGAAATATATCTAAATTAATATATAGCTATCTTTAATATTTTATTTATATATATTATTTTTATAAAATAAGTTAAAGACTATATATAATATAGTATATATTTAAGGCAGAAGTTAAAATAATTTAGCTTACTTAAACTATATTTATTTAAGCTTAAAAGAGATATTATTATTAAATTATACTATAAAGCTTAGTTAAATATACTTATTTATTTATTGCTTTTTATATAAAAGTTTATTATTAATATTTAACTATAAAAGTAGCTAAAGTTTAATTAAGCTTAATAAAACTAGTTAGTATAAATATAAAAGCTAGTTTTAAATTAGTTTATAATTAATTTATATTTCTACTTAGCTTATTTATTTTTTTAGAAATAAAAAAGCTCTCTTAAAAAGTACTAACTAATAGTAGTAAAATAAGCTAAATAAGTAGCCTAGTTAAATTATACTAAGAGTTTTTTTATATACTTAAGTAAGTTACTTATAATACTTTATTAGCTTTAGCTTAAAAGTTCTTTCTAAAGTTACTTATATAATTTTATTTTATTTATATAAATAAAATATAGTAAGAATATTATTAAGCTTTTATTTATCTTAATAAATTAAAACTAAACTAAGACTACTATAAATCTAGTTTTAAATTAATTTTAATTAGAACTACTTAGAAAGTACTATAATAAAGGCAAAATTAAGTATTTAGATATTAACTTTAAATCTTATTATATATATAATATAATGCCTTAAAGTAATATTTTTACTGCTAGTTATATAATATTTTATAGTAAATAACTAGAAGAAAAAGACAGAATAAAGAGTAAATTAAGAAGAGAAAAGAGGGAAATTAAGAAAAGAGAGGTAGGGAGCGACGAATAAATGGACAAGTGACAAATACCCTTTAGCTCTGTTGACGTGGACATCTAGCGACGTGCTTAGGGCCCGATAGGAGATCTGCGAGTGATACTGATCAGTTGACGTAAGTTATACATGCAATATTGTAAAACTTACCGGTCGACCCTCGCTGAGTAGCATGTCTGCTAGAAACTTCCTGTGTTCGTCCATTGGAAAGGTTTTTTTTAACGACATCTCTTAAGCTACGGCACAGAATGATGGAACAATTTACGCAAAACGCGAGCCGGGCCTTCGCGTGTAAGCAAGGAAGAGACGCGAAGTCACGTGGATCCACTTAAAGCCAATTGATCAACGATTTCGCACTCGCAGAAGGATGGACGGATGACTTTTCGTTTTCGACTCATCATGATCCTATAAAACAATACGCTACGAATTACCATGACAGACCTAATTGCATATGGACTAGAAATGCTCTGTTGAAACTTCAAGCAAGATTTTTCGGTTTTGCATCGTCATTCCGCCCCACAACGCGTCGAGTCGCGAATCAATGTTGAGCCTCCTGTTGATAACTTGCACGATTTTGGGCTTCGCTCTAATATTGCATAATCTACATTAAAACAAAAAAAATAAAGAAAAAAAAAACAAAAAAAATAAAAAAAATAAAAGAAAAATAAAAAATAAAAAATAAACTAATTAAACTAATTAAACTAATAAAAATATTTCTAAACTTTATAAAACTAGTTAAAGTAAGAGAGAGAGTATTTTATAGCTATTAGTATAAATTATTTCTAATTTAATTTTAATTTTAACTAACTTACTATATAAAATAAATATATAAATATTATAAGCTATATTAAGCCTTTAGAAACTTACTATATAGTATATTTTAGTAATTATAAAAAAGCTATCTTTATAGTATAATAGCTATATAGTAAAGAGTATATTATTTAGTAATATACTAAGTAAATTCTATTAGCTAGAATTAGTTCTTAACTAGTTTATAATTATTTAGTAAGTAGTTTATACTATTTTTATATTTTTATCTTTATTCTTATTTTTATTCTTCTTATCCTTAGAAAGAGAGAGAGAGAGAGAGAAGCTTAGAGGCAGAAGCAGAAGCAATAGCAATAACAACAATAATAATAATAATAATAGCAGCAGCAGCAGCAGCAATAGCAATAATAATAATAATAATAATAATTATAGCAGCAGCAGTAGCAATAGCAATAATAATAATAATAACAGTAAGAGCAAGAGCAGAAGCAAGAGCAAGAGCAAGAGCAAGAGTAAGAGCAACTAAGCAGGCAGCTTAGCAGCATTTTATTAAAATTAGTCTTAATCTCTTTTTTAATTACTTTATAAGTAGTTTAAGTAGTATATATACTATTCTTAGTTAGCAGTATATAGCAGCTACTACTTTAGTATTAGTAATAGTAGCTTTATTATATATAGTTTAAACTATAGTATTAGCAGTAGTAATAGCAGTAGTAGTTAGTAGTATAAGAGCAGAAATAGAAATTACCTTAGAAGGTATTATACTTTACTATATAAGCTTATATAGTATTTATAATAGTACTTAGCTATTAATATAGTCTAGATATTATTCTATATAAAATAAATATTAATTATTATATAACTAGTTTTAAACTATTTTCTATAGCAACTTATAAGCTAAGTTATTATTTAATTACTTTTTATTATCTTTAAAGTAGTACTTTTCTAAGTTAATTTTATAAAATTAAATATAATAGTTTTAAAGTAATAACTTAGTTATATATTACTATATTTATAAGAAATAAATAAGAATTAATTTATACATATATCTAGTTAGTATTATACCTAATTATATAATATACTATTTACTTTAAAATAGTAGAATAGTTCTCTAGAAAATAAAATTAGCTAGCTATCTTAAAATTATTCTTAAGTTAGTTCTAATTATTACTTTTATTATTTTTACTAGAGAAAACTTATAGTATTAAATTTTAACTTAAAGATAAGCTTATTAGTAAGTTACTTCTCTAAGTTTAAGTATTACTAGTATTATAATAATAACTAATATCTATAAAATATTTTTTTTAAGCAGTATAAACTAGTTTAGAAATAATTTAATAAGATAATAAAGCGCAGAGATAGATTGCGTCCCTAGGGAGAGGGGACAATTAGAGGCCGGAGAACATAGCGGGAGAATAGACAGGAGCGGTATAGCCCCGGCGTAGGGCCGGAGGCAGGCTTAATTTTTAGGGGCTGTTAGCCCCTCTAGAACACAGCCGGCGAAGCCGGCGACACTTATGTACGCGCAGGAGGCGGGCGGATTCTGGCCGGCATAGAGCTAGAGCTGCTCTAGGGAGCAAAAACAGAAGCAGGCAGAGTTTTTCTTTCTATTAAAGGGTTTTCTAGGCTTAATATAAGAAGAAGATGTACTAGTTATATAGCTTTATAGCTATTTAGAGTATTTAATATAATAAGATAATAAAAGTAGTTTAAGTTTATAGAAGAAAAAAAAGAGATATAAAAATTAAGAAAAATAAGTCTTACTTAAATAATAAAAATATAATAGCTAAGTATTTACTTTTATATTAATTTATATATTATAAGATAAAATTATAAAATAATATATATATCTATAGAGAGTATAAGTAAATATATAAGTTTAAGTAAGTATTTTATATAATATTAAAGTTAATAATAATTATAAAGATATATATAGCAATTAACTATAATTATAAAGATATATATAGCGCTATAGTAAATTAGCAGAATGCAAATTAAGAAAATTATAGTAGCAGCATTTGCAGATGCAAGCTAATGTGCGACCGTATACAGGTGGGTTTCTGCAAGTTGTCATGCCGGACTGGACGGTTTGACTTGAGGCTCCCATCTGCTCGAGTCGGGTGCGGTTGTGGGATGCTCCATGTCGCTGCGTTTGTGAAAGTGTCGCGGGCCATGGCCCTTGAGTACATTATTACTCTAAGACGAAAATGAGGAATCATACCCCGTACATGGGCAAGACACGACGTGATCTAATCTAACAAGTGGCCCGGTCTCGTCCCTTTACTCCGCTCCTCCGCTCGCACCATATAACGCAGCATCTAGGCCGTGCCCTTGACGACCGAAAGCGATGGCTGCCGGAACGGCCATGCATCCCCCAACCCCCCGAGGCTGATTAATACAGTAGAACAAGAGATGCCCAGAGACCCCCACACGTGTGCGCTTCTGTCCGACCACTGCTGCTGCTGCTGCTGCTGCTGCCGCCGCCACGGGGGCGATACTGCTCCTGCTAAGGACCAGGGGAAGTCGTCAACGGGGGCGGCGCAGGGTACGCCTGCTGGGGAAGCGGCGTGCCCGACAGCTCGCTGCCCTGCTGGGCATGCGCCGGATACGAAGGATACTGCGGATTGAACTGGGCGTGCTGCTGGGCGCCGTGGGGCGGCTGGTACGGCGACTGCGGCTGGTACGGGCTCTGGGGAGACGGGTACGGCGCCGGCGTGGGATTCTGGCTCAGAGGGGACTCGTGATGGTCGCCCGTCGGCCAGGGCTGAGCGGGCTGCAGATGCGGCTGCATCACGGGAGCGCCCTGCTCCGTCTTGGACTCCATCTGGTAGTTGTCGGGGCCGCCGGGGCCGCCGGCTCCGGCGACGGGAAAGCGGCCCTGCTTGCGGCCGCGGACGAACATGACGACGGTCCACACAAACGTCGCGATAAACATGAGCCTTGGGGCGGCGGTCAGCACCCGAGCAGCACGACAGACTCGACAGCGGGACACGGGGGTGGTTCTCACCAGAGGAGGGCGCCCAGCCCGGCAATGGCGCTCATCATGGCGCTGCCGCTCTTGAACAGGATATCGCGCCTCCCGAGCTGGCGCCTGGTGAAGCACGTCTTGCTGCCGACGAGGCTGCCGTCGTCGACGCACCCGCCGACCCGGACGTTGACGTTGAACGTGGCTCGCTTGGCGGCCACGGCGGCAAACGTGGCCAGCCACATGACGACGAGGAAGCCGTCGAGCACAGTCACGGCCAGGACGTGGTAGGCCGCGTGCCACGCCGACATCTTCTCCGTCGACACGGCGTAGAAGAGAACACACCACGTGAGTACGGCCTGGGAGCGGGTTCTGCGCGTTAGACGTGCTGTCGCGCATTCTTTTCCGGCCCGGGCGAGGGGGGGAAGACTTACCGTCGCGACCGAGAGCCCAAACTCGTCGAGGTACAGGTCGTGCATCAAGGCCCCGGCCAGGCCGAGAACCACGAGCGACACGAGGAACTGGAGGCCCCGGACGACAATCATCCAGACGGGCGTCTCGAGCACGTGGCTGTCCGGCCTTGCGGTGCCCTGCCTGCCTTGCTCCATTGCGAACCACGGCCGTGGGAGCGATTCACCAAGTCGATGTGTCTGGCTAGAGATGTTTAGTTCCCGTGGGCAAGGTCACGCCGGGGGCGGCGTCCGAGTCCGCGACTTATATGGCCTCGATGTTTTGTGTGACGAGGCGCCAACCCGCTGCCCGCTCGCCCAGTCACGTTCTTGTCCAGACGAGTCGGGATGATGGGATACAAGCCCCCTTTGTTCCGGCTGTTGCCCTCGTCGGACCAGGCGCCCGATTTCGGGAGAAAGGAGCCAATATCGGTCAGCCCAGAGACGGCGCATGGGATCCAAGAGGAAGCAAGCTGTGCCACTAGTTTGCCTCAGCCGCACCGCAGGGCCGCGGCCTGCCTTGTGCGTTTGTTTGGAACAGCGCCGCGCCGCGCTGGCTCGTGCCGAATAATTTCTGCGCAATTTATCTTTTACGAGGTGCCCGTTGGGCGTTGGGCGTTGGGCGCTGGGCGCTGGGCGTCGAGCGCTGGGCAGGGGAGGCCTGGTTCGGCTTGCCGGCACGCGTACGTACGTATATGCACACATGCCGAGTTACATGTTGTGCGCACAGCTGGCACCGAGGACCGAGGAGAGGAGATGGACATGGCATCGACGGCGTCGTCGTCGTACATGCACACATGGGCGCGCACACGTCGAGTCTCAACACGCCACGCCACGGATGCGTCTTCTGGCCAATGCTTGCCCGGATGCTCGATACACAAGGCAAGGAGAAGAAGAAAACACAAAAGGACAATCGCTCGACCGGCCGGGGCGGAAACGCCGACAGCCTCGAGAGCCGGGGCCCCGGGCTGAGAGCCCTTGCCGTGGTGGCGCCGCCCCGACAGAGCTGAGGAGCTGAGGAGCTGACAGGAGTCAGGAGTCCAAGAACCAATTGGACGAAGCCTCTGCGAGCTGCGTCTGCGCCTGCGCTTGCATCGGCGTGGCTGTGGCCCCTCAGAGGGAGGCATTCTAGACATTCCAGACCCGTCCTTCCGCCCAGCATCTCGAGCCCGTCTGTCACACTGCTCCGTGCAGGGCCAGCGGCGGCTGGGCTTGGGCTGACACCCTGACACGGGGGCAAGGCAGATCCGTCCCCTCCTCTGCGTGTTTCCGTCCCGCGTGTCCGCCTCTGCTAAAGCTTCTCGTTGGGGCCGGCAATCAGGATCTTGATGACGTTGCCCTCCTTGACCTCTTTGAACGCGTCCTCGGCCCTGTCAAAGGGCACGACGGCCGAGACGAGCTTCCCGACGTCGACTCTGCCGCTGGCCACGAGGTCGACGGCCAGCTCGTAGTCGCCGGGGCCGTAGCGGAAGGACCCCCGCACAGTGACCTCCTTGAGGCACAGCGCCATGATGGGGAAGACGATGTCGCTCCTGCCCATGCCGCCCTGGACGTAGGTGCCGCCGGGGCGGACGAGGTGCAGGCCAGCCTGGACCGAGGCCTCGGCGCCGCTGGCGTCGATGACGGCGTCGGCGCCGCGCGGGAGGGCGGCGAGCTCGCGGACGGCGCGGGCGCAGGCCTCGGGGTCGACGGCATCCGGGCGCCAGAGGTAGGCGTGCGTGGAGGCGAAGCGGCGCGCAAAGTCGAGCTTGGCGCGGACGAGGTCGACGCTGACGACGGTCGAGGCGCCAAAGGCGGCGGCGACGGCGGCGCACAGCAGGCCGACGGGGCCGGCGCCCATGACGGCGACGGCGTGGCCCGGCTGCACGGCGGCGCGGCGGACCATGTGCACGGCGACGGCGAGCGGCTCGACGAGGGCGCCGTCCCGCAGCGACACCGAGTCGGGCAGCTTGTGGCAGAAGTCGGCGGGCGACGCCCACAGCCCCGTCAGCGTGCCGTGGTGCGGCGGCGTGGCGGCAAAGGCCATGTCCGCGCAGAGGTTGTAGCGGCCGGCGCGGCAGTCGCGGCACCGCCGGCAGCCGTGGCCCGGCTCCAGCGCCACCCGGTCCCCGGGCTTGAGGTGGCGCACGCGGCTGCCGGCCTCGACGACGGTGCCCGCCGACTCGTGGCCCAGCACCATCGGCTGCTTCACCGCAAAGTGCCCGATGGCCCCGTCGTGCCAGTAGTGCACGTCGGACCCGCAGATGCCCGTGTAGTTGACGGCGACGATGACGTCGTGCGGCGACGAGAGCACCGGCTTGGGCCGCTCCGCGTACGTCACCTCGTGCGGCTTGTTGAGGATGAAGGAGAGGTTCTGCGCCGCGTCAGTGCGTGCACTCTGCGGCAAGGGGAGGGAGTTCGCACGCTGAGTGCATCGCGGTCCAGCGTTTGCGAGGCGGCCATTTTTGCTTGCTTGCTTGCTTGCTTGCTTGCTTGCTGGCCGGGCAGTAAAAGTTGTGCTCGTGTCGACGCACGCCTTGGGATTCCGGAAACTAGATGGGCTGCACGTTGCACGTTGGTGGGAAGCAGACAGAGCCAAGGGCACTTGTCGAGGTGGTTTCAAAAAAGGTTAAAAAAAACAATAAAGAGGACGAGTTGCTGGCATTATATATGCAACATGTCCCTCCCCCGCCTCGGGTCACGACGCGGATCCACGACGGCATGCATGCTTGTGCTTGGTGGATCCTCCACAAGTCACAAGTGACTGGTCTAAGTTATCCGCTCCAATGACACGTCGTCCTCGATCAACCAGAACATCCGAGCTTTGCATCATCATGTACATAGACACACAAGCAGAAGCAGAAGCACAAGCAGAAGCAGTCGCCTATGCACGCCTTTACCTGGCTGGCCTTTGTACAGAAAAAGAGAAAAAAAAAGAGAAAAAAAATCCAGCATGGCTCCAACATCAAGTCGTCCGAGACAAAAGTCGTCGTCATCATATCGTACATGGCCCCCATCATCTTCCATGCCTCGCGCCATTCCCCTGGCCGTCCCCCTAAAATGCGTATCCGTTCATCGGAGGTAGTGCTGTTCCTGGGCACTGGCGGAAGAATGCCTCCGCCACTTGCTGTCCTGGGGATACTTGTGCTCGACGGTAGGCGGCCCCATGAACTGGCAGAACACAGACGGCGGGGAGTGCGCGGCGTCGAGGACGTCCTGTTTCGAGCGAGGGCAGGAGCCGCCGCCGTCGGCCCCGGTGGCGGTGGTGCATGGATACGGCGGCAAGCTCTTGAGGCGTGCTCGCGGCGAAGACTTGATCTTGCGGTCTGCGGAGCCGGAGCCGGAGCCGGAGCCGGAGCCGGAGCCGGCGCTCGACTCGGCGCCGGGGTGGGCGAGCGGGATGGCGGGCCGCCGGTTGTGGCCCAGCGTCTCCTTGAGCTTGTCCATGAGTTTGGACGCCATGGCTGGCGAGGGAGCTTGTCACGGTGAAGAGCGAGCGCAGTACAGAGTCGAGGCTGCGGGTTGACGTGTGTAGCGGCGGTACAGACACAGACGACGTGTCTGACAAAAACGAAAAGAGGAGGCGAGTGCTTTGGAAACTCGCAGCGCCGAGGGCGAGGACGCGGCGCGGCAGCCCGGTCTTATATACGTGCATGCCTCCCCGCCCAGGCAGCATCGGATGACTCCCAGACTCTGGGCGCAGCAAACGAGCAAGGCACGACTTGCTCCATCGTCATCGCTGCTCGCCGTCCCCGTTAGGCATATGCTTGGTGGCGCAAAATCCCAGAAATGCCATCACCACCAACCACCCACCCACCCACCTCCGCCCGCCCATGGATGGACGCACGCCAAGCCAAGCCGGGCAGTGCAGCAGGCGCCCTCTTCCAAATGAAGCACGGCGGTCCGGATCGAGTCTCTCTGGAGTCTGCCCACGCCGGAGCTTGAATGCGAGTCGATGTTGGAGGCCGCCGGCGTGAGCGAGAGCGTTGCACGGCTTGGCCCTGGTCCGCCCATGGCATGGTGGTTGCCGTACCCTCGAATCTTCAGACGCTCGACGCCCTCGACATACATTTGTCGACACATTGATGCGGCAGGTCTTGTGCTGCGTGTCACAACGCAACAACCCTACCATCCGGCCACTCTGCCGCGTGCGCCTCGTCTAGTCGCTACCCTCCGCCCCCGGTTGCTGTTGTATGTCGCTGCCCGTCACACCGTTTTAGTTAAACGAGGCGCTTGCTTAATTAATTTTTCAATCCTTCATGCCCCCACCCATAGCTCGCCGTATTTGGCGTCCCCATTGTGGCTCTGCTCGGGAGAGGACTTCCCGTATCCCATGTGGCAAAGTCTGCTGAGGCGCCGGCAAGAAAGGCCATAATCTCCCATAATCGCAGACTACATTTCGAGAAAATAGTCTTCCTTCTCCTCTGTTTGCTTCTCTTCTTTTCTTCATCTTTTCTTGCCATTCCCCCCCTTCTCATTGCCGATGCTGGGTCCTTGGCACGTATCTGTACCATGCAACTTGCTCGGCACTTGTACGAGATGAACACGAGGCTTGCGGAGATGCGTCATGCGGGGAGACCAAGAGCTGACGAATCGTGGGCCGACCCGGACTCTGGAGTCTTGCCTTGGCGTGATGAGTCGAACGGTAATACAGTAAACCAGGTCTATAACGATAACCTTCGTGAGCAATTTTGCATCGTTATAACCCGACTACAGGGATTATATCGCTAAGATGCGACTACCCTTTTAGGAAAGAGCCCCACATAGCCCCACTTTTGCTAGTAGATAAGGCTGATAAGGCCTGATAGAGCCTGATAAGGGATTTTAGGGGGGGTAAGGTGGTGTGTAATTATAAACTTACATATATTAATAAGCAATATTTACAAGAAAAATCGCTATAGATAAGAAGTCACTTTTATATATATAACATATAGGAAAGGTACTTCACGCCTAGGCGTGTGTGCCGAATCGCTATAACAGGGGATCGTCATAAACCTGCTTTACTGTACTCCGTAGACAGGGAGTCAAACGTGGCGTTGGGGTTCGTGGCGATGTGTCAATGGGCCGATCTTGCCACATCGGGAGCCGAGGGCGTCCCGTCGCACATGAGATTCATGCCATTTTGCGAGTCTTGACTGCGCCGCGGCGGGGGCCCGACTTGTTCCGCCGTTGGTTGGTTTCAGACCTCCTGCTGTACACAGATTGAACCGTTCATTGTAGACTTGGATTGCGGACTGCAGCCTGGCATCGCGTTCCTTGTCTACGGCTCTCGTCATGGTTGAAAAGGCCTGAGCCATATCCATCCATAGTAGCCTTGTTTGACTCATTGGAATGAGGAGTCATTTGTGCCAAGTTTTCCACCTCTTTTGACCTGGGTCGTGTTGACAGGCCCCTGAATTATTCATAGTTAGATTCCATCTACTTGTGGAACAAGCACACCCTTCATGGCGGGAGGAAGGAGGTGACCGAGACAAAAAAGGAGCTGCTTGCGGTTAGGGTTAATGGACTCATACAAACGTATAAGTGATGGTTTACGTCGCGGCAGCACAAGTGGTGCGGTGGTTCCCCAGTCACAGAGGGAGTTGCTTGATCACACGAGAGGCGGTTGGATGCCCGGCTCTTTTTCATCCTTCAGCTGACATCGCGTTCCCAGCGCGGTGCTGGCCCGAAGACGCCCATTCAGATGCTGTCCCGGGGATAACATGCTGTTTCACCTGCACGCACGGGAATGCCTTTCCCAAACTCGCCATGCTGTGTCTCTGATGGACAAGCCACACAACAATGCACCAGCAACCGGTGCTCTCGATCTAGTCCGTTGATTGTAGTTCCTGGGCTCGGTATGCTGGACGCCACCGTTTCCGGGACGATGCCGCAAGGACCGTCTCGCACGGCAAACCTCAGCTCGTCCAACTGGAAAGTCATCGAGTCCATTGCTCATCCGTCAACCAGCCGCTTCTCACGTAAACAATGTCACGCGGCACAGTTCCCGTACGGACAGGACCAAAGCATGCTGCCTGCAGAGGACGCCACCTGCCGGCTTCCCACAGCCGCACTCTATCGCGGAGAGAACTGAGCCAGCCTTGCTGCGACCCTGATCTCGGCCACCGCGGGAGCCGCGGCCCCCCTGGCCCCGGGATCATGAGAACTGACGTGAAGCGTCCACCGTCCCCTGGTTATACCATCATCGACGAAAGTGAGTGCTCACCCTTATCCAGCGCCATTCCTACACAGAACATTGGCTTTTCTTCCTCTTTCCCCCGGTTCGTCAACCTTGTCTTCCGGCATGGGCGCAGTGGGACCCTGCGCGGCCACGATATCAAACAGCCGCGCCTTTTCGTCGTGGGCAGCCGTGTCTCCAAATGCCATGTCCATGTCCTCGAGACTCTTGCCCTTCGTCTCCGGGATGATAAAGTACGTGAAAGCGAGAGCTATGAGGCAGAAACACGCAAAAAAAAAAAAATGTACGTCCCCCGATTTGCGGCGCAAACGAAACTCTCCATGCTGCCTGGCTCTGGCCGGAACAGCCCCTTGGGCCGACATCATGGCTGGGATCGAACTCGCGCCTCATCTCGGTGCCGCCTGTATACGGAATAGCAGGAGCACATCTCGTCCCGCCAATGTACTGCGTGCCGTATTCCGGCCAGTAACTGACGACAATACCAAGCGTGATGCTCACTGTCGACCCGGTGGATCAGCATTTTACGACCACAGATGTCGTTGGCCGACTTACGCTGCTGCAGAACGACCATTGTACCTCGAATGCCTGGAGTCGAAACCTCAGACATGTACATGGGCACAATCATGGTCAGCATGCCGACTGCGAATCCCGCAACCGCACGACCTGTCCCAGGCGACTCGTCAGCATCATGTGTCCTCTGTCCTCCCAGCGTCATGATTCATGAGCGCCTGAATAATTCTCGCCTGCAAGCAAAACCCCCATGGATCGAGCACCTGCTTGGAGACCCGACCCCAAGACAACGACAACTTACCGCCGCCAGCATTAAGCCCTTTCGCCCAACTCGGTCTGCTATCGGAACGTTCACCAAGGATCCCAACCACGCAGCCAGCAGAAGCGTCGACACGAACCATCCCTTGAATCTGCTGTCAAGATAAATCCGCGGGAAGTCCGCGCCAAACGACTCCATCCTCAGAACCCGGAAACCACGCCCTGATCGTAGCCGAAGAGAAAACCCCCAACGAGGCAAACTTGGTCTCCACGGGTCAGTCAAAAGCTTGCCGCGAAGACAAATGGGGCGCACTTACAGCAGACAGACCAAAAACGTATGGATTGTCGCGCAATTGGCGCCAGACACCCTTTGTTGCGCTCGTGTCGGCGAAGCGAGACATCTTGGGGCCACCGCAAGTACTACGTAGTACTACGTAGTAACCCAAAAAAGACGACGGGTTTGTTTCCTGGCAGCCTTGCCACGTGCTCTTGGGCATCTCCCTGGAAACTTTATAATCTGCCAAATGTCTCATGACCCCAGTAGTGGGCCGAGAATAACCCCAACGTCGCTTCCCTAGATGGAGTAACGAGTTAGCGGCGCAGCTAGCTAGAATGAGCGAGCAAAGCGAGGAGATAGTATGAATTCTGAGGGGAGGAGAGGGTTCGGACAACTCCGACCCGGCCCAATGAGCAGCAACCTGTCTCAGGGGGTTTGTGCCACTCCAGAATCCAGATCAGCTTCATCAGCACTTGGTGGTGAAGATGCAGAAGACTGCATCTTCCTCCCCACCACAGTATATAGTCATCAGCGAGCGCCTGCCTGCCGGGGGTGTTGGTGTGGTCGTGATCAAAAAAGCAGGGCGTCCACCATCGAGCACGCAAAACATCTTGTGTTACATGCCTTGGCCGAAATCAGTCCAGACCAATGAGTTGAAAACATCAGTGGGGTCCGTGGCCCAGGAAGAAAAGTCCAACTCCTCGCGATACAGAAATTCATCGCTGACGACGGGACGGACAGGGCGTACCGGCTGCGGCGGCACAATCAGGCCGAGGATGTGGGCACAGCGGGAAGCAAGCGGATTGCTCGTCAACATTGTTCGGAATATATTGCTCGCCGTGTCCATGTCTGCCTGCCAAGCCGTGGTTTCGGCAGATTCCAAATCACCGACAATTGCAAGGGCGCTGATTAATGACGCGTGAAACAAGAAGTATCTGGGCGCTCAATTAGCACACGACACTTCCTGGTCATTTTTGCAAGCAGAGGCGACGGCTTGCGTGGCATACCAGTTGATCAAGCGAGTCATTGGTGTCTGCGTGAGAAACTGACCTATCGTCGTGATTGTCGAGCTTGCTGCCTGCACAGCCAAGTCTCTGCACCTGTTATCTGGGTCTGTTGACGCGGCGAACATGCTGCAGGCTGGAAAGGGTCGGGAACCGCTCGTCTGCCAGCAACCCAAGACAGCAAGGCCCGAAGGGAGTACACTCCAGCAGTAGATCCTACAAATTACATGCGTATTAGACTTGGGCTCCTAGAGGCGTATATTCCCAGCGCGACAATACCAACCTAGGTATCCTGTTCCCGTGGGCTCTACCGCCAAGGCCGCCATGCCATCCACCCGGTCATTCGCCTCTTCTTGCCAGTCAAACCCATCAGCTTTCTCGGGGACAGCACCTGAAATCGATCCCTGCGCAGGTTGATCCTTGCTGCGCGAAGCAATTCCTGTGGTGCTCTTAAACTGCGCCGGCGGGGTGACCGGAGAGCTGCTGGCTATAGCGGTGAGTTCGTCATCAACATCTAGATCGGGTAGTTTCTGCGCCACTAGCCTCTCCAAACAGTTGAGCCGTCATTCAACAGACGTCAGGTACCTGGGGATACGGTCAAAAAGCGCCATGGCACGGGACGTGGCCTCTCTGAGACCTACTGTCTGGTGAGCGGTGACCGCACCACCTTGCCACTGTAATGGCATTGTCTGCGGATCTGAAAGCAAGCCTTGCAGGTCGGGCGATCTTTGGAGCACTAGGAAACGGAATTAGCCCTCCCTCTGCTTTCCAAACAGCAGGCAGAGGCGGCAGCATCTCATTCCTACGTTCAACTTCTTGATCCGACAAGCGTCGCACTATAATGGGGGCAGTTAGTCGGGGGTGGGGGGCACAGGCTTCCGGGCCAAACTCACAGCGAGCGAAGGTACTGCCAGACGATGAACTCGAGTCCATCTAGAAGACACTTCACAAGTTTTGCAGGACGGGAATGTGTCTCTATGAGGCTCCGACGAGGTCGCGAGAGGCGACGCAGCGGGGCTGTTGAGGAAAGTGCGAACGTCGAGCCATCACGTGGAGCAACTTTTTTGGCGAAATGGACAGCCAAACAGCAGTCTACTTTAATCAATTACTTTGTTCGGGAAAACGCATTCAAAGTAGCACCATATCATCAAACAAACGTAGTGTTGATGCCTGCATGAATTTACCGATGAATGCCTTCGTTGGATCGAGCACTTGCTGCAGCGTGACCTTCCACCTGTTGACCCGCCAGCGACGCGCATCTTGATCTACGAGCAAAAAAAGCCTCGAGAAAAAGACTGAGCCTCGGACCAGAGCCCAATACCAAAAAAGCCTCACGGAGCAAAAACGTAACGTTACACAGCGGTTCGATGGAGCAAAAGTGAGTATTATGACACCTGAGGGATTCGAACCCTCGCCTATTACTAGACCGCGAATGAGTCGGGCCGGCAGAGCCGACCTAACCTGAACACGGCGCCTTAGACCACTCGGCCAAAGTGCCTTAATGCCTGCTGGTGGGTCGACGAGCCCATTAAGAAGATCAAGAAGGCGACCCCGAATTCCTGCTGCTCGACTCTGCGTTGGTGGGCACGATGACTTGTTTGGCAGTGAGAAATGGAAACTTCGTCGCGGCCTCTCGCCAATTTCCTTTTCGGGGAATCACACCGTAAGACGACACTGTAAGACGAACACTCGGAACTGCGAAATACCCGTCATGCTGGGCTGCGTGGGTGTAGACAAGCAAAGAGAGCCTAACCCTGATGGTCTGGCAATGTGCAGCCAGGCTTGCAGGCCAGGTTTTCAAAAATAACCGACTCGCCTCGTCCAGGCCTCGACAAGGATTATCACAGAAAACGATTTGATTCCCAAGACTCACTTGTAGGGGGTCGACCGAATGCTCCTTGACAGTGAAGCTATCCCCACAGAGCTAGAGGTCGGTGATGCCACGAGTTTTCGTGGGAAATATGCGTCACTCAAGCAGAGCCATCGCTTGCAACTGATCTCTTTCTGATGATTTGGTTTTTTCTCTCAATAGGAATAACATGCGCGACAACATCGGCATTTTTGCGCAAAGGTACTCCTCGCCAAGAAGAAAAGTCACGCCTCCAAGTGTCGCCCGAGTTGGCATAGTAGGGAGGCATCTCAGTGCAGTTTCTGCGATTCCTGGGGCACGGTATTGCCCCGCCGGATCTGGGGCTGAACAAGTTCCAAAATCCGACAAGAGTTATTTTCGAGGTGGAAGATGAGGAGGCGGTGAGGAAATACAGTGCGTCAGTGATAGATCAGCGTTCTCACTATTCACGTCAAATGGCTGGCGTCGTTCACACAGGAAGGACTTGGTAGCCATTTTCTTGGAATTGCTGAGCCAGCGGTCGCCAGTCTGGATTTTCGCCGCCCCAAAACACGCCCAGGAAGCCGAGAATGTCGGCATGGTTCTTGAAGCCCGTCGTCTTGGTGATAATATCTGCCAGTAGTTTGGTGACGGCTCGCTGCTTCACCGCATTGTCGTGGGATTCAGCGCCGGCAATGAAGGCAGGCCAGGGCAGGTTATGGGCGCATAGCGCGGGATCCTCCAACGCGTCGAGTTGCTGGAAGAGCCTGGCCACTGATGGTTTCCAGTCCGGGTTGTCGTCGTGTGCGTATCCAAGGCAGCGGTACGAGTACAGAACAGCCGTGTGGTGATAAATGTCGACAAGTCGTACAAAGTCGCGGCGGATAATGGCGGGCTCGATCCTAAGTTTGCCCGCGGCGAGGAGGGTGACACCTCGGGCTTGTTCGAACTGGCGCCGAATGAGCGTTGCGTCGGGAAACGTGGACGTGGTCAGTGTCAAGGCATTGGCGTCCAGACTGAAGAGGGCGCGACGAGACAGAAGCGTGACAAAGTGTAGCAGAGACAGGTATTGCGAGAAAAGGCCATGTTCCGTGCCAGGCGGGGGAGGCACGGTTTCTTCAATGTCTTGCAAATTGAAGGACGTGGTTGATACCAGGACATCGTAGATGAAGAGTTGGTTCCGCAGAAAGCGGAAGAGACCCCCGTTGCTCGCTTCCTTGGACGTGAAGACGTTGACCAGCGTCCTAGCAGCGCGTCTGTGTCCCTCGGCTGCGGCGACCCGCGAATTGGTCATCTCGTAGCACGAAATCATCAGGATGGAGGCCAGGATCCACTCGGCTTCGGCAATGTCGGTGCGAGTATCCAGCTCAGAACCATCCGTCAGGCGCCCCGTCATGTCCTGGATGTGGCGGTTGATCAGGCCAAGGCAAGCGTCTCTGGCAGCCTCGGGGAACCGCGGCATGGCGAGAGAAAAGGTGGCGGCACCATGATGCGCCGCGATGGCCGCGACGGCGTATCTCAAAGCCGGCGTGCTCATGGCCAAGGGCAGCACACGTCGTCTGTAGTCGTTTTCCTCCGAGTCAAGCCACACCATCAGGCCAGCCAGGTTCTTGTCGTAGTAGTCGATGAATTCTGGCGACGAGCTGCGCAGGGTCAGGTCCAGCGGTATCGAGAAGCACGCAGACGGCGAGCCAGCACGCCGCCGGACCCCGTCGACTTCGATGTCATCCCTTGGTGCCGTCGCAGTGGCATCGCAGCGAGTCAGCTGCTGCGTGCTCGTCAAGTCGGCTCCGCGAGGCAGCGGAATCATCTTGCCCTTCAGCTTGCCTCGCACAGCGACGCCGCCCGCCCAGCGCAGCCGCGGGCCATATCCTGGGCACTCGAGCCCACGCTTCACACACTTTTGACAAGCCGGCCGTGCCAGATCACATCGGATGCGACGTTTGGTGCAGGTACCGCAGCCCTCTAATTGGTGGCTCTTGTGAGCGTGTTGAACTTCAAGTCGTGAGGTGTAGACATGAAAAGCATGGAGCAGGAACGCGCGAGGGGGAATCCTGACTGAAGGCAGCGACGAGACTTACTCTCGAGCGCGGCTTTGGGGTGCCCAGATACCATTATACTTTAGGACGGCGGGACAGACACGTGCAGCAATCGATGTGTACAACTCGGACCCGGCTTATGTCTCGTCGCACCGGTCATGAGAGCAACAAGGAGATGACGGCAGCCAGAGGCGTTGCGGTCTGTTTTCAAGCGAGGTTTGGAACGGTCGCCGCATTGTCGAGCAGCCGCCGCGGAGGTTTGGCATGAAGGAATAGTTCGGGCGCGGACATGATGAGTGGCCGTGAAGAGGGCAAAGAGCCTTGGAGGGAGTCTTGGCATGACCCTGGCCTGGCTTTGGCGTTTGGGTACGGAGTATGATGTAAACTCGGATCATCAAGACTCCGCCATGTCCATGTCTCTCCTCCCCTCTCCTCCTTCTTTCCCATCGTCGTTGCCTCACAACAATCATGAGTCCAGTCATTGTCCCGCGACAATTTGTCTTATCAACCGCCGCAGCCGCCGACCCGTTGATGCAATGCCATCTCCGTCCGCCGGCCGTGCGACCTGAGAAATGAGACGTCAACTGGCCCCATTCACCGTTCATCAGAGTCCAGAGTCCAGAGTCCAGACACATCTGCACGCTTGTTCCCGTAATTATGCACGCAATTCAGAGAAACGCCCTTCTTACTTCCCCTTCCTCTTATGAACCATCTTGCTGCTAAGCACAAAGCAATTGACCAACAAACTCACCTGTCGTGAACAACCGCCTGCCTACTTAAGTACTCGGCGTACTCGAGGACTGCCTCAGTCGACCGCAATGACATACACATCGTACACGATGCCCAGCTGCTGCTGTAGCGTGTTCAAAAAAGAAAAAATGCTCTCTGCATGAATACCAGGCAAACTCTCGCCTTGCACTTGCCCGCCGTTCGTGCTTGCGCAGCTGACTCTTGCTCCCGCCGGCTTCCTCGCCAACCACCAACAACACCACACGCCTCACCACACAGCCGACGAGAACCAAGAAAAGGGCATTCGCCGCGCGGAAATGTCTGCAGAGCCTACATCCACCGTCGACCAGTACCTGCCCGTGCTGGAGGACGTGCTCTGCGAACGCTTCAAAGTCCTAGGCGACCGATTCCTCAAGATTCGGGTCGAGATCATCAGCCACGTAGAGGACATCATCAAGGACTCGGTCGAGGAGGCATGGGACGTCAACGTCTTTGCTTGGAAGGTGCTCAGAGGGTGGACGGAACATGGTGAGTTTCCCCAAGCCCCCGGGGCTCTGGTGATGAGGGCGGACTTGACGCCACGCGACAGGTCTCACCAACTTGAAGCTCCCTCCACAACCAGAAGGCCGGCGGCAGTATACCTTGCCCGTGGCCAACATCCAGAGCCTCTGCTTCCTGCCCGCAAAAAGCAACCTCGACCCCTGGGACCACGCGTGTCTCTGCGCCGCCGAGCTGTGCAACGAGATCCGCACAGCCACGGGCCAGCCAGAAGTCTGTTTCCAGGCACTGCTCCGGCATAACGGCATCGCTCCTCCGACGGGTATACGCCAGTACTCCGACGCCGACGTGCCCCTGCTGGACAATGACGTCACCTCCTGGGCATACTATATCAGGCGCTTAGAGGCCGAGCTTTCGAGGTTCCGCGAGTCTAACCTTGAGATCAAAAGGCGGAATATGGAATTGGCCTACCGTTTGTCTGAGGTGCAGAGTGAGTTGGCCGGGTACAAAGCACCATTGGCCGGGTTCAAAGCACCATTGAGGTACTAGCATTCGATCCATTCCTGTGGTCGCATCGGCATGTGAAAGGCACGGTTTCGCAGCCATTTGGTTGGTGCTTTGCTGCTCTTATATTGGATTTTTTTTTCACTTCTTTTTTTCTTCCTTTTTCCACAGGCCTAGTTTGAAGCAGGAATTGAAGACGAAGGAGGTAGACTAGGCTGGGCGGGCCATAGGCTTTGAACAAGCAGAGATCTGGTATCAAGGGCCTTCACTTTTTGTCTGCGTGTACTCCGTAGATACAGTGCTCGTTCATCTCTTTTATTCATAAACCTGGTCAGTTTTACGTGCGGAATATTGTTGTGGCGCAGTGCCACGCAGTGAAACACTGAAAGAATGGCTCAATTGAATAAAATTCATGATACCTTCATTAAGTTATCACTAGGCTCTACTAGACCACAGCTAAATTATCGGCGTACATGTCCCACAGTCTCACACCATCATAAGCAACAAATAAAATATTCAGCACAGTTCATTGTTTCCTTCCCGCTCTCTCTTGGGTAACCCAACCCTCCCGCTATACGTCATGAAGAAACGAAGAAGGAAAACAAAGTAAACAGTCAAACGAGCGACGAGCTACTCCGTACTAGGGGATGTGAAAAATTAAAACTTCATTTAATGCAGTCGTTCCTTGATGTACACCGTTGCCGCCAACCCTGCGCAGCATCTCGTGCTCATCTCGTGCCTGCACCACGAGCACTTGACCGCCGTAGCCAAGGCGCCCGCATAGCCCAGCTTGTCGACGTGACTCAGCACACTCTCTGGATTAGCCATTGCCTCGTACAAGTTACTCGGCATGTCGTGGTAGTACTTGCAGTTGCAGCACTCGACAAACACCTTGGCAACGGGCTCTCGGTCAGACATGCTCAGCAAGGGCGTGGATTTATGCCGCAAAGAGCGGCCGACAATATCTGGGACAGAAGATTGCGTATTTGCGGTTGCAGCCGCGTCCGAGTCGCAGTCTGGGAGGGCAAAGGACGCTGGGGGCCCGAGGCGCCGCTTGTGTGCGCGCTGCGGGGGAGCGGTTGGCGGCGGTTGGCGCGCTTCTTCGAGGTACGTTGCGAAAGAGGCGGCAGAGGCGGACGACGGTGGACCTGGCTTGTCTCTCTTCTGGCGAAGCTCTAGGGGGCTATGCTCAAGTGGTGGGGGGTTGCTTGTGTCTTTGGTGAGTGTGGATTGGGAGTTTGATCGTCGGCGGAGGCCGGGAGCTTGGACGGGGATTTTGGTGTAGGCATGGAGCACTTTCTCGGCCACTGCTTGGATGCAATCGATTTCGGTTTCTGTGTCCTCCATGTCATGAGGAGGAGGATACGTGGTGTTTTGAACCTCGAGTAATGGTTTGTCCTTGTCGCGTTCTGGCTCCAGGTGACCGTCCTTGGCAGCGTCGAGTGGTATGCCCCTTTCAGACTGCGGTCGGGAAGTAGCTGGCGTGCTGACGATGGAGGTTGAGAGAAAGTCTTCGGAGCCAGAGTCCTCGGACGAGCTGCCCGGGAGGTGGGAAGCGGGTGAGGACATGTACGTGGCCGGTTGGCTCGTTCGAACTGGGGCTCCGACGGGCCGGTCCTTGGCCGTTTCTTTGCGATGGAGTCCTTCGCAGAGTGGGAAAGATCGTTGAGGTGGAGTGGTGTCTTGGAGGGAATGTTTCGGGGATGGCAAAGGTGGCACCGAGCCGTCCATAATCAGAGCGGAGTTCCTTTTGGAGCTTCTCCTTGGCGGTTCGGGGGGAGGCGAGGACGGAGCGGTGTCGAAAGTATCGCCCGTCGAGCAGGACGAAATGGACACATTATTACTGTAGTCCAATCTCGGCTTATTCCCAAGTATCGCCTCTCCTGGCGGGCTAGCAGGGAACACGACGTCCGTCGGCTTCGCTGGTGATGCGCTCGCTGACATTGCCGAGTCTGAAAGCCGTATATCTGTTGGCTCGGAAATTTTCAGCTTGAAGTCCCCAACAGCTGCACCAGTCCCTTCTAAAGTAGCATCAGCATCCAAACTCATCCGCGACCCGGGCCGAGAGCCGGGCTTGAGACCAACTTTGGCGCGCCACTTGTCGATCGTATTAAGGTCAGGAACGGCGGGTGCCGTCGGCGAAACGAGCGACATGGTCTTATGGTGATATTTGCTTCTGGTGATGGGCGGGTAGCGACGATGGTTTTCGCCATAGGCACTGGCCCTGGGTGGTGGTGGTGGCGACCTCAGTGGTGCAGACCATCTATCACTTTGCCTTCCTTTTCCTTTGCGAAGTGCGGGGTGAATATTTGATTCATCATGCTCCACGGCTTGATCATCAAGTGCCTGTTGCGCAGCGGCATTTTGTTGCATCTCAAGCTTAATGCCACCGATAAAGCTCGAGTTTGTGCCGTGGTCCACGGACGAGCGACGAAACTCAAAGGGAGCCCTGAGAAGGGACACAAACGACCCCGAGCGACTTCGAGCTTTTCGAGGGGGGTTGCTGGCGTTATTGACAGCCGTGGAGCTATCTTGTCGGTCTCGTTGACGGCCCCTGCTTGCATCGACTTCGGGAGCAGACGTGTGCTGCATGGAATTAGGCGAGCTCGCAGGTGGTGGCTTGACTAGCTTTTTTGCCCTTCCATTCCGAGACTCATCCCTCTCCTTTCTCTCCGTCCTCTTCTCGGTTTTCCGTTTCTCATACGCCTCCCAGCTCGGCGAATGGCAGGGCGCAGGTGCCGACTCGGTAGGAGGGAACTCGAACGAAACGACCTTGCGATACTTGTCTCTGGGTGTGGAAACAATGGTAGAATCCTGTTCCGTCGGCGAGTACTCTTGACTCTGGCTCATGAACAAATCAGATCGTCTCATGGTCATAGGCGAACCGGTGTTGATGACTAGAGGGGGAGGTTGTGGAGGTAAAGAGAGATCCCGAAGCGGCGCATTACTTTTCCGCCGAATCTTCTGCGCGCTCGCTTCAGTACGACGAGCGAGGATACCTGGGCGTGTGGTGGAGGACGGTTTCGTGAATTTTGCGGACCAAGGATGAGAAGTCGGGTTCGAGGGCGCGGACGATGAGTGAAGGCGATCAAACTGTGAACAAGTGAGCTGTGTAAGTCGGTGTTCACATGGACCCTAGAGAGGCCCGAGTGCCTAATGGAACCTGCACGAAGGTGGCACCGGAAAAAAAAAAAGGAAAAAAGCAGTAGAGGTCCAGATGCAAGCCTTACGTTATATCGCTTTTCGAGCTCCAGCATGCATTGCAAGCTGTTGGAGCGGCTGGACCGATTGTTGGGGTCGGCCATTCCGCAAACTTGGAAGAAGTCGGGCGAGAAAGCCAGGAGTCTAGGAAGTGAGGCAGAAGTGGTTGGGCTGGCCGGCGCTAGCAGCTGGCTAACAGCTGGCGACAGGCTGCTAGCTGCGGACGCGGGAACTGGCTGAAGTGTAATTAAATTACCCAGAGGTGCGGGCGAATAGACCAATAGTTGCGAGGAAGCGCGGTTGCATGTGTCTCGTTCCAAAGGCTGGACGGCACCGACGTTATTTTTGTTCTATTCCTTTCAACCGTTCTTCACATGCAACGTGCAAGATACATCAATGGTTGGTTCCCTTTGTCCAAAGAACGGCGACGCGAGGCGGATGTAAAACAAAAATGCGGTCGCAGGACGAAACCAGGGCGTGATTGTCGATCAGGGGCAGCTTTGTCGTTGAAAAAGAGTCTGGTACCAAAGAGTCGAGGTTATTGGCACTGCCTCGGTGGTGGTCTCTCGAGCAATCATCGGTAGATTGTGTATAGGCCGCGGAAACCGCAGCAAACTCTCACAAAGTCAAAATAAGAAGACGGAGCCGAGCGGGAAAAACGAGGAACTAGCGGCAATATGTATCCACTGGCACAGAAAACATTTCAACAAAATTGCAGCTGAACCACTGACAGGACCAGGTCACACCAGACATGCAGCGATGCAGTATGGCGCTCTGTCCGATCCTGGAGATCCGGGTCGATGACGGCCTGAATACGAGGGGCTTGGTCGAGGGTGGTGTGGCCAACCCCCGGTAAGGCCAGTTTGACCAGTCTGACACAGACAAGAAGCGACGTGGTACGGTCCGATGCTCTTCCATGCCATTCGATGCCATCCCGACCCAAGCACGCCGTCTGTACTCCGTACCGTTCTTTTGTGCAAGAACCAAGATGCACGGGCGGCATGGGTACCGCCGGGAGAGTCTTGGAGAAGAATGAATCTTGTTTTCCTTGAGATGGTCTGAATGTCTGAATGCCTCCCCCCCCCTGCTGGGTCGACCTGATACCATGGCGTCTCACGAAACGGACAAGAATAGTCTTGACTCTTGCACACAGCGGCGCAAGCGCAGGTGTGAGGCGGCACGTCGAGCAGAATACCTGTTGCAGGGAACCCGGGCGGAATAGGACCAGCAGACACGGCGGAATAAAATTGATCACCACGGTGCCAGGAATATCCGCTTCTTGTTCTCCTCCGCAAGCCCAAGCATGCAAGCCAAGCCTCGTCCTCAGCTGCACCGGGAGTCCGGGACTATCGACGACTCGGCACACAACGAAGTCGGCTCATGCTCCGAAGGCGGGGAGGCAGTGTTTGGCGGTGGCATCTTGACACAAATGCCAGCAATGCACGCACTAAGAGGCGTCGACCGGTGCATGCGGTCTCGGTCCTGACGACGACGGCGACGACGACGACGTTGACGTCCATGCAGGTTTCATGCCGACGGCCACCAGAACATACGAGCATTCATGTTTGTCAACTGGTCGCTTTGGTCCTCCTGCCCCGCGCGCCCCTCCCTGCGCTCCTGCGCTGGCACCCCGCCCCCTCCCCCCTCCGCCCCGTCTTCTGTCCGGCCAGTCACCTTTGAAGTTTGGACAGTCAACAAGTCACAGCAAACCGCACAGACCCTGCCGCTGCCTGCCTCCAGTATTCCAGTATTGGCTCTTGCGTGCTCTTCCATGGCAAGCAAATGAAAGACGACGATCAACTCCAAATTGCAAGCGTCCTGCAATTATCACGTTCAGCCACACGGACGAACGACGGCAAGAAGCGCAGCGAAGCAACCGGCGCCGCCGTTTCGGGTATCGGCGTGCTCCAAGTCCGCTAGACTGCTAGTACGCAGGCTACCATGATATCCTCTGCTAGAAACAGTGTCCCCGGGCAAAATCTGGCTCTCTCTGTCTCTCTCTCTCTCTTTTTTTTTTGTGCGTCCGAATAAGCCGTGGCCGTCGGTGATATGCGGTGTGACTTGGCTGGTTGGGAGCGCTGTAGCACAGGAAGACGAGGACAAAAAGAGAGCAGCATGCTGATGAATCCTTGCAGGCAGGTCCAACAACCAAGCGTCATCGTTGTCATGAATGACATCTCACGCCTTGCATAAGATGGATCGAGTCCTCCATGTCTCTTCTCCCTGCAGGCCTAGATTCAGGGTTGTGCATGTTCGCTTGGGCATGTCTTTTGTTAAGAGAAGAGTCAAGTCGGTAAAGACGGGCGTTGCAGCACCACCAACTTTGGTGCGAAAGACCATGTTCTCGGTGTTCATGCAGCAAGGCTGGCTGCGCAAGCTGTGGCGACCCGGTTGAAGTCTTGCATCTCGATTGACCGCCCGGCCGTCATGCCTCCTCGTCGCATGTAGCTGTGCCCGTTGCACACGGCATGGCCTTGACACTAGGAATGTATAGTTATAAAGAACGGACTGTGGTCGGGGAGATTGTCCGCGGGACTCCAAGCCAGCCGTCCCGATACAGGGCATTCAAGGGCTCTTTCAGACAGGGAGCTCGATATGGATACGTTCACTTGTAATGGACTGCCAAGGGACACCGTGAATACAGTATACAACCATCCCCTACATTGTGGAACCAAGCTTCAACATTTGGTGTCATTTCAGGCCATCTCCATTCGTCCTACAGTAAAGCCTACTAGCCGGCACGGTGCGGTGGCTTCATGCAGGCATCTGCAAACTGGCTACACTATTCTCCATGATCGGTTCAAACGCCTCGCCGTGGTAATACATGACAGAATGGCACGCAGAGGCATCATACCCAAGTGCGTACATTGGTACAACGTCAAACTGGCGATATCTAAACCCCTTCTTGCTGGCCCGCTCAAGCAAGAGAAGTCCGGTACGAAGCCACATCGGCTTCTCTCGGGCTGATGTGCGTCCACAACTCATCCTGCTCGGTGTAATCGTCGAGGCCGTTGCCCGTCGCGTCACCTTCCACGGCCGCACACACCAGCGTCCGCCAAAGTCGTCGCCACCACGCTCTGAATCTCTTTGAAAACTCGTTGGGGATCTTGAGCCTCACTGCCACCCACTTGCGATCCGGGGCGTGGTCTTCTCTCAACGCTTCTTCCGGCTCGCTGGGTGCCGGTGCTGAAAGCAACAGGTTTTCGTCGACCCATGTCTTGTGTTTGATGTGTCCGGGCGGCAGGGTCAGACTGAGAAACTCCAACGAGGTTGCCATGGTCAGAGAGCAGGCCCGCAGGGGGTTCACCATGGACTTCATGAACAAGGACATCCAGTGAGGGTACAGCACCGCAAAGTCGGTCATGGCAAGATGTGTCGAGCCCACAATGGTGAGCATCCAGCACAGCGCCTTGGATTCGCGCGCCTCCTGGCAGAACCCGACGACCCGCTCAAAGTTTTCCTTCCAGTGCATGAACGCCTCTGACGATATGGCAATCATGGGCTTTGCCACAATGTTACCAGGGCCGTCGCCTCTTGCGGGAGTTCCTTGGCCCCACGCGTCGAGAATGACGCCTTGGCCGAGCCACGCGAGAGACTGATCTCGACAGAGCTGGATAGTCGTCGCCCCTCCAAACGAGTGGCCCATGGCCGTGACCTTGTCGAGGAACATGCTCCCCTTCCAGCTGTCCCAAGTGATGCCCGTGAGCCCCTTGGAGCTGGAGCCAATATTGCCCTTCTTGCGCAAGTTGAGGCGCGCAATCTCGTCTCCGCGGCCGTCGTTGAGGAGCGAGAGCACATGGTATGCCTCCTTGATCTCCTCCAGTCTGAGTTGAACCTGAGCATTTCGGAGGTGGCTGTCTACGCCACGAGGATTGTGCGGAGAGGTATCCTGGGCGTTGTCCTTGGGCAGGATGTAGTCCATGATGTAGTATGGGTTCACGCCGTACTTCCTCTGGCCCTGGACCTTTTTGTTCTTGGCTCGGGACCCGTGTTCCTCATCATTCCCAGACACTATTTCCGCCGTCGAAGACTCAATCTCGGCTGCGTTGACACCCTCGGGCAGGTTCACCAGCGTTCTCGCTCCGCTTCCGTCCCGATGCTCGACCGCAACCACAATGAAGCCGAAACTAGCCAACTCGCCGCATATCGTACTGTAGCAAAGCCTCGAGCCCCCCAGCCCGTGGGTAAAGATGACTACGGGAAACGTCGGTTTCTCCGAACTGCAGCTGTCTCTTCCGCCGTCGTCTTTGTCGCAAGCCGCGTTCTCCTTGCGACCATCTTTCGCCCAGTATTCTGCCAACTGGGCGTTTCTAAACGCAGGCAGCTTTGTGTAAAGCGACGTACAAGCCAGATAAGCCGTGACCGGTGCCGCCGGGATATTGAGAAACTTTGCGTATCCGTTGGCAGTAGCGATTCTTGGCGCCGGCATCCAATTGACGCGGCGGAGGTCGCGTCTTCCCCCCGATGCCTGCTCGATGGTCTTCCGCAGGTCGCACGGGTAGTATATCCCCATGAGCACGGTATCGAGACGCAGCACCGGTTTCCCACCACGTTTGAGATTGGAAATTGGACGCGGGTCCCGAGCTGGAAGCTCAATGTCCATGTACCCGACGTTGTACGGACCATTGTAGTTGGGCAGACGATGCAGGAATCTTTCCCGCAGCGTCTTGCGTGGCGTTATTGCGGACTTGCCCGAGGTTTCGGTTGGTGTCGCCGTCAAGTGAACCATGGTGACGCTCCAGCCGGACTATAACACTGGGATTCGAATGTACATTTCATGTAACTTATCAAGAGGATATACACGTATTGTTCGAGAGGAACCCCGGGGAACTGGTATTCCGAGGAGGGGCGTCCCGGCGGGTAGAAATGCAGAACTTATAAGGCTGATCGTGGGCCAGGGACTGAATGTCAAGAATGACGTCAACATTTCCGGGGCCCTGCGTCTGGCGCCAGGACCGCCAGGACTTGGCAGCGTGGCAGCCATGCATCGGGACGCTTGCTGCGATCGATGGGATCGAGAAAGAAAAAAAAGGGGAACTGCCCTCGCTGATGATTCGGGACTCATGGCGTTTGCCGCGACAACGATGGGATCTGGAGCAACTTAACCCGATTGGACACGACAAGACAGATTCGTCGCATCAATTTGCCCTTTCACTCAAAACGCATTGCTTACTTTTGAGCGGGACAATCATGACCCAGGCCCCAAGTTGAACGTCTGAAGTCTTTTGCTTGATCACGAACCGTCAAGTTATCTCCCAATAGTCATTGTTTCCGCGCCTCACTGGGCGGAAGGCGGGCAAGATTGCTCGCACCAAAACACTAGGTTCTGTGACGCCGTTGCCAACGTTCACCAAGCCGTTGCTCCGGCCGTTGCAAAAACGGGAGCTGATTAATAAGCACCACCGACGGCGACAGCACAGCTCCACACGGCGCGACTGACAACTTGTGTCTGCGCGTCAATGTTTTTCCGGCAGGGCAGATCGCCCGTCCCCACTCACGTGAGGGTCGCCTCCCACGCACAACCATTTGCCAAATTCCGCAAAAACTCCTTCACAGACTCTCTGCCGACCGACTCCTTCACCCACAGCATCGCCAAACACAATCCATCACCATGGGTAAAGTTCACGGATCTCTCGCCCGTGCCGGTACGCCGCCCGCCATCTCGACGCGATCCGTACAGACAGAACCCTCGACTAATCATTCCTCGCAGGCAAGGTCAAGTCTCAGACCCCCAAAGTACGAAACCCCCGATCCCCCGCCAGACGGCAAAGACGTCCCCGCGCCTCCTCGCCACGACCGCAATCGACCATGGACTGACTGTGTTTCTGTTTCCTCCTCTGTTCCGTCTAGGTTGAGCCCCAGGAGAAGTCCAAGGTCCCCAAGGGCCGTGCTCTCAAGCGCCTCAAGTACACCCGACGATTCGTCAACGTCACCCTGACCGGTGGCAAGAGAAAGGTGAGCACAGGAAGAAGCACTCAACGACTGCGACTGCACTGCGTCCGGGCAGCGCTGACACCACTGGGCTCAGATGAATCCCAACCCCGGCTCGTAAATACGCCAACAGAAAGAGGGGATGAAGTGAAGGCCAAAAAATGTACAGAATGGACCGCCGGTTTCCTAATGGTCTTTTTGAGGGTATGGAAATCAGCGAAGCCGGAAGCAGAGGTCGCTTCATGCGCTGAGCACCTCCGCGTGTGACGGACGACTGGGTGCGTCGAAGCGCGGCCACTTTTCTCAGGCGTCTCGGTGTGGTTGGTCAATAGAGATGATGATTCATCCGCAGTTTGTCCACGGTTACGATGTGCTGTCGTTGATGCCGCAATAACCAACCATCTACCCTGGCCCAAAGTATCCCCGACGTGGATGGATGTGAATCCTGTTGTTGACACTTGTCTGTGCCGTCCCAAAGTGCCGTCCTACCCAGATGCCGATGCTACGCCACCTAATCCAGATCCCAACCTGAAAACCCCCACTACTTGCAGCCAGAACGTAGAGCAGGGACCCGTGCCTCGCTGTAATCCATCTTTTGCGGTGCCGCTCTTTCGCTGCCTGCTCCCCGTCAAAAATGCTAATCACGTGACCCATCCATTGGTGCCCCGCCAAGGCACCACACTCGAAGCTTGGTCGTGCACGACACACGAAGGTCCAAGTTGAACTCGCGTCTCTTCTCCTCAGGAGCTCTAGACACAAGACGTTTTTCTTACGACGCCTCGCCAGTTTCGAAACCAGGACCATGGCCGACATAGAAATGGAGGTCGACCGACCTGTGTCGCCGCCGGCGCGTAACGAGTCCGAAATGCAAACCCACACCAAGGCGACGGCTGTCCGATCCATAGAGGGCTGGATCGTGATCGTCACAAACGTCCACGAGGAGGCGGACGAGGAGGCGATACACGACAAATTCGGGGACTTTGGAGAGATCAAGAACTTGCACCTGAACCTGGACCGACGAAGTGGCTACGTCAAGGTGCGTGCTCGTGCTGCATGGGAAGGAGAGAGAGGCGCACACCCCGGGCTGGAGGGGGAATGAAGGAGAGAGCAGGAAGAGCATGTCGCTAAACCGTGTGCAGGGCTACGCATTGATCGAGTACGCTACCTTGGAGGAGGCGCGGGCCGCGATTGACGGCGCCCATGGGACGAAGCTGCTGGACCAGACCATCTCGGTGGACTTTGCGTTCGTGCGGCCGCCGCCCGGCAAGGGTGGCAGGGGAGGCAGAGCGGGCGGTGGCGGCGGCGGGCGAAGACAACGAAGCCGCAGTAGGAGCCCGGCGGCGAAGGGCGAGTGAAGCGCGACGAGCGGTTGGGCGTGCAAGGGAAATCGTGGGATGCAAGAGCCTTGAGGCCGATGCTCTGGTCCGCAGGATCAAGTGACGTCGGCATTTGTATTCGATGACGACAAGGTACGACGTGCTTTGAGGCGATGGAATGACTGGTGCCAGACTAACGCGGCATAGAATGAAAGACTGTCGCGGAAAAAAATAGACATTGTCGCCGCACCGCACGTCTGAAGTGATGGCGGGTCCCGTACCCTGTCTTCTGGGGGTTTCTCTGAGTATTTTTCTTGGTACAGATGGCAACTGGACTTGGAAACGACATGGTTCCGTGCACCTCCTCTGCACAATTGAGTTTTTGCTCAAATGCCAAAAGGTCTCTACGTTGCTGCATCATCCAGGGACTCTGCTGCGAGAGACATGGAAGCATGGTTGCTCATGAGAGGGGCTGGAATACTTTCCACTTCTATATCAGTGTGATGTCGACTGAATTCTTTGCGACGTCCGTCATCATTTCTCCGTTCATTACACCGTGCACATAACACTCCCCTACTAGGCGGTAACATCCTTCTCTTCCGCTCGGACGGACCACAAACGGGACGTCGCATCCGTGGACAATGACTACAATATCATTCTCTTGCGTCGACAACGGCACCAGTCCAATCAAGCAATCCGCCGTCCAAAAGAAGGCGCGGTTGTTGGCTACAAGGCCGACTGCAGATGCGTAGGCGGCACAATCTGCCGGCAGGCCGGTTGTGGATGTCGTGGTGCTAACGCCCATGTGTGTGAGGAGGTTTAGCGTTGCTACCGGGTACGCATGTGTGCACATGTAGTATGCCAGTGCAACCAGCAGTGGTACCAATAGCACGACGTAGATGCAACGGAAGAAGGGAAGAAGTACCATGATCACTACAGCCGGTTTCACGGCAATGTACTGCCTCCATGCTAGACCGCTCAAGATGCCCACTTGCACGAGAACTGGCAGGTGTCGCATTCCGACAGCAACAAAGAGCAATGCTACAAGACAGCCCGCTAGTAGTAGCACAGCGGCCTTGACAAACAAAACCTGGTCATGCCCTTTCATCTTCTCATATTGTAAAGCAAATTCCGGAGGCGCCGGTTCGCCAAATATGGTTCGATTGGCGACCAGTGTGCGCCACAAGGCTTCAGTCATGGGCTCCCCTGTGACGTAGACGTTTCCTAGCCTCGAGACCATAGATTCGTACATGTTTACAGGGAGGAGTAACTTGCCCGGCAGCACAGCCTTCACAAGACTGACTGCTGTAGCACGGACAGCTAACAAGCCTTGCTTGGCATCGGCATCAAATACCGCAGTAGTATTTCCAGCAGCGCTGTAGAGTTTTTGGCAGCCATCTTTCCGAGCTTCCGTACTCATGCCATTGCGCATCTCTTGCCTGGCTCCGGGGCCATCCGTTTTGGCCGTTGCGTTCTGAGTCTCAGAAACAGTTGCTGTCTTCTGGGCATTGCTCGAAGCCATGGCTGTCGCACGTGGTGCATCCCTCTCTTTCTCTTCCTGGAATTTCTTGCGCGTAGTTCCTTCGTCAGACACGAGGGCAACCCGTGTCAACCCGGGGCCTGAGTCATGTGAGTATCGTACTGATGTCCAGTCTGGCACCCAAGATGGCCAGCCCTGTGCATCGATTTTATCTGATGAAATGCCAGCAGTCGACAAGATGAGCGGAAGATGCCCATTGTTAATAAAGGTGGATGCGAACTGGGTAGAAACAACGGCGAGGCTCTGTTCCGACGAGTAAATGGGCCTGTACCCCGCCGCATCTTCGGCCAGACCGAAAAGAGCATACAGTCGGTCGATAGACTGGGTTGCCCGAAAGTTACTTGTTCGATGTAGAAGATCCAATAGACTATGTCGTTCATAGGGGAAAGGCTGTCCTGCAGCCCGGTCGGATAACCATTGGTCTTGTGTAAAGTTTTCGAAGCCTTTAATGGAGGCTAAATTCTTCCGGATGGACAATCCAGATGGGTCAGATGGCTCGCCCTGGTCAAGGTTGAACACCATGTACGGCCCTGACATGTAGCCTCGCGCGCGCATGCGCAAATCTGTGACTAGGTGCAGAGACCTAGCCCCTTCGTGGGCTTCCCTATAGTCATTCAGTCTCCCGGTCATGAACAAACCTTGGGAGAATCCATGAAACATGAGTTGACGATTGGAAATATAGGCCTTGGATGCTAACCAAAGCTTGTGCCAGTCTATTTCCACATCACCGCAAATGACGCATACATCTGTCGCATACACGAATTCTTGTATGACCCAGACCCGACGAAACCAGGGGCGGCGGAAGAAGGCACGCAGCGCAGGCCATCTTTTGTCTTGTACAGGGGGAAGTATAAATCCGCTTTGCATGGCGAGATGTACCCCAATCTCGCCATAAGCATGAGTAGAGTCATCTAGATGCTCGGAGTAGTCTGCTATCGAAGACAATAGCTCCAAAGCCGCTTGAACATTGTCAGCTTCATCGCCTAGGTAGACTTGGACACAGGCTGCTACGCGGTATATGTCCGGCATAAGTTGAATCTGCTCCCCTTTTTCCGTGTTCGATTCAGAGGTAATCTGATTGATGCAAATAGCGTCTGCCCACAACAGTCGAGCCTCGTCGGGCCATGCCAGTCGGCGGAGGATTGTGTACAGATTAGATGTAACTTTTATCGAGGTTTCTTGGCCGGCTTCGCCGCGAATGATGATTTCAAACGAGGCTGTAGTGTCGCCTCCCCAATGATAAGAAATTGCGTCATATGGTAGAGAATGTTGCAAATAACCCTTACCGCTCTCAGAGAGTTGGTATTTGGGATTTGTGAGGTGGTGATGAATAATCTGTCCAGAGAGAGGTTGTTGAGAGCTCCGAGTGGCATCCAGTCGCAACAACCGGATCTCACCAGGTTGAAGTGGCTGGTATTGATAATCTCTCATCTTGGTCGCAGATTGAGTTGAAGATCTGGACCCGACTGGAGCAGAGGACGAAGGGTTCTTTCTGCACATACAGGACACATGGCTGAGGATGGTCTTTTGGGCGACCGATTATGCATTACAAATAGCCTGGCCCTGGTTGATCTTTGACAGCGGGCACGTGAGTAGTCTGCCTTATGACCGTGAGCCACATCTGATGACGCCAAATCAAGGAGACCCCGGCCCAGCTGAGTCCCCCCTGACGAGACTGGGCTACCTGTTTGATGCGGCCGAGTCGAAGGAGGGGGACTTGGCACGTCGTCGTCAAGGTCTCATGCTGTGAAACGATGATTCGAGCGTCGGAGTAATCTGACAATTGGGCCTTGACTGGAAAGGCGCTGCTGTCCTTGAGACGCGATGTCGGGCGATTGCCTTGGCCTTGGAGCCGATGTAGGGAATGTTCTAGTGCGTTCTGCAACGCCGTCAGCCGATCCATGGATTTGTGCTACATGATCGGCGTGCTGATTAGCAGGTGTACGCAGGGGTAAGTGGCATGATTAGTCGCAATAGCCGGTTGGAAGTCTGCTTTGATGTGGAAGATTTTGGAGCCTGACGACGGGGTAAGGCTGAACTGGGAATCACGGAATCACTCCCAGCCTCTACGTAGTTACGTACCTCTGGGCGGCAGGGCCGAGCCAGCGCTGCCCAGACCGACTCGCGGGGAAGGCGCGAAGCCCCACCCGGGCCAAGCCTGCTCCTCCCCCACGGCGCACGCACTTACTTATGTACCTTCCATCTTCCCTCCTGCAGGTCCGCCTCGCCATGGAGTTGCATTGGCCTTCTCCCAAACATCTCGATTACACCCGACGCCGAGTCACAGCCATGAGCATTGCGCTGTCGCGGTAGATCATCTGGCAAGTCTGTCGCTTCCATCGCCCCTGATGGCGCCTCTGATATACCGCTTCCGCCGCCATCATGTATAATCGCGAGTCTAGGATTATGCGCAAGCTACTTGGCAAAGCGGCGCCCGACTCTGCGACTGGTGACTTGGCTTCCATCACCGGCACGACCACACCTATTCCGACCTCGTACCGCCCGCCCAAGGCGCAAAACGCTGTCTATGTCGCGGGAGCCCCGATATCGTGCTTTGACGTCTCTGCTGATCGTCGTGCCGTCGTCCTGGGAGGAGCGCATATACTTAAGACGATCCTTCTAGACGACCTGACCGCCCCTAGCTTCAACTTCAGCGACGGAATCGATGTGCGCACCGCCATTACCACGAGGCAGTCTACTGGCTCTCGCCAGAATGTTGTGGCTGATCAGCTCAATATACGCGATGTGAAATGGCATGGCAGTTCTCACATATACACCGCCTGTGCCAGCGGCAAAGTCTTCTCCTACGATCTGACGCGTTTCGGCGCAGGCGACAATGAACCTCTTGACTATATCCTGATGCAAGAAGACTCCCGGCAGATGAATAGTTTGGACATAAGTCCTCACCTGAAGACTTGGCTACTGACCGGTGGACAAGATGGAACTGCGCGCGTCTTTGATTGCGCAACTACAACCGCCGCGAGACACGGCCCCAGCTTCAGGCAACGCTTTGCACCTCTTAGATGCATCGATCCTATCAGAAAAGTCAGATGGTCCCCTTCCAACGGTCATGAGATGGCTTGCTGCACGGAGAGCGGCGTGATTATGAAGTGGGATGTGCGACAGCCCTCACGCCCTCTTCTTCGAATCAATGCACATGAGAAATCATGCTCGGATATTGCGTGGCATCCTGACGGCACTCACCTGATTAGCTGCGGCATGGACACAAAGATCCACACTTGGGACTTGAGCAACACGGCGGACAAGAGACAGAAGCCGAAATGGACCATATCAGCGCCCGCGCCGGTGGCTGCTGTGGCCTGGCGCCCGGGGCTTTGGTCTGCAAGTGCCCATGCCAGGCGGGTTGCACAGATTGCTGTTGCCTATGATGAGACTAGCAGTCGAAGATATGGCACTTCTGCCGTGCACATTTGGGATCTGGCGAGGCCATCCATGCCGTATAAAGAAATCGATCGATTCGAAACATCTCCGTCTGCTGCGGCATGGCAGGACCAGGATATGCTATGGACCGTTGGACAAGACGGAACTTTCAACCAATGTGATGTGGCATTCGCGCCCAAGGTCATTGATCGCCAGTCGACTTCTGCCATGGCATTTTCTCCACGAGGAGATGTGCTCATGTTTCTTGACGAGCGTTCACTATCACACCGGCCGCGGTTTCCGGCAGTACATCATTCCGATGCTATGCAACACGCCGCATACAGCCCTAGCCCCAGCAACCAGGGCCTCAGCATAAGTCGGAGCGATTCTGAAGATGATGTAATGGGCACCTTTCTTGGATCACGGCGCAGGATACCTCGAAAGAGGAGACCGAGTGGAAGAGGCGCCGGTCCCTTGAGCACCACACCACCGTCTGCCGGAGCACCATTTGCCGACGACAACAAGGAAAATATGGGCCTGGAGCAATCTGTAAATGTGACGGGAGTCTTCAAGCCCCAGCAAGCCATGTCTTTTGGACCCATACCCGCAGTAAAGCCAGTACAGGTCTATCACTTTTTATCTAATGCCTACTTGGAGACCCTGAAGCGCGAGCTTCCGTATACTGATGGCGGCAAGCCGTTGGTAGAGAGGGTCGGGATCATCATGGAACAGTACGCGAAAGCCGCTGAAACAGCAAACTTGTACCGTCTGGCGCAGACCTGGCGTATCCTAGCGTATGCCATGAATCTTCTCCTCAAACGCAGGGCACAGTACCACTTGGAGGTTAGAGTTGGCCAATTCCAGAAACTACAAGTCGACGACGCGGCAAAAGCGCCAGACAGGCTGAAGGCCTCCGAAATGTTTGCCAATGGGACAGATACCCCTAAGCGACCGTCAGGTCAAAGAAGCAGCATCGACGGCCGATTCCACTCTGTTCGGTCTCTGCTCGCGGAGGAGATCGAAAGCACTTCTAATGTGCCAACACCCGTGGCAAGGCCAGCCGATAGCGCGGCGAACACGGCCGTTCCAGGTCATGGCGATGCGGTACATCAGCATGGCAAACGATTGTCGCCAATAGTCGAGCCGGAGTCTCTCACAATCGGACCTGCCGCTCACGGGTCCTACGGAGAGTCCCAAAGTCCACGGCAACGTCAAGACTCGGAACTTGTATCCATGGGGAGTGAGCGCAGCGATGAACCGGCCGCTTCATGCACCGACGGCTACGACTTTTACGATGCAGAGGTCTTGGCAAGGGCAATTGATGTTCCCGTGCCGAAGAAGCGGAACGACTCGAGGGGACGGCCTTACCGCGGCACGACCGTCAGGCAGGACTCGGACGAAAGCTTTGGCCAGATGTTTTCCATCTCGAATGGAACAAAAAGATCCGGGAGGACGGGATCTCGCGGCGAAGCGCTTGCCAAGTCGCTCAGCCGGGAGCAGTCGGAACTGGAGAGAGAAAGCGGTGCTTCTAGCACCGACTCTCCGGTCATAGCAGATACGTTGACGGGGAGCAACGATCGCCCCCCACGCTCCAACGACTCCGGAGAGGAGGTTTTCATGGCTTCACAGACGACAAACACAGACGAAAGTTATCCGTCTCAATCATCCTTCACATCGCAGGACATGGATGGGGAAAGCTCAGGGGCATCGCCTCACAATTCGGTTCCAGAAATCAGAACCAGCCGATCAGTCAGACCCAGGAAGAAGGAGTCGTCGCTGTCAGCATCACCTCGCCATGACCCTCGGTCTCACATTGTCGAGACAGATTATCTCCCATGGAGCAGCGACCCGGCGCACCCGCATCCCGGAAGCAGCGCTCACAGCTCCAAGACAAGCGTGGCGCCCGTGTCGCCCCTCGACCCCTACAGCCTGCTGCTCCGCGCCCTGGACTTTGAATCCAAAACATGGGCCCTGAATGCCTCGGCAATGGTCCTGCTGCTAGGACCGCTGGTGCCAACTTCCATCATCGACAGCCACAGGGCCAACGCCATCCTCCGCCAACACCACCTCCGGTTGATGCGAATGGGTCTCTTTGTCGAGGCGGCTCTGCTCCGCAACCTCTGCGTGCAAGGGTGGCCCGGCGGCCTGCCAGACTGGGGAGACAACTACCCGTCCATCTTTGGCGCCGCCCAGCAGGGCGTCAAGGTGGGCTTGTTCTGCTCGTCGTGCCGCAAGCCGCGAGAAGTCGACCCGTGGGCAGGCCGGGACGCGGTATGGACCTGCGAACGGTGTCAAAGCGTCATGGCGCCGTGCCCGGTCTGCGGCCACCGCGAGGCGGCGCGCCCGTCCATGATCCCGCCCGAGATATCGCCATCCGCCTCGGACGTCGAGTCCGACACGTGGCTGTCGGAATGGTGGTACTGCCCGGGGTGCGCGCACGGCGGCCACGCCTCGTGCCTGCAGCTCTGGCACGGCGCGTCTCAGACCGGTGCCGCGGCCGCCGCAGACCCGTACCCGTCGGCCAAGTACAGCGATGGGTGCTGTCCCTCTGACGGCTGCGGCCACGCCTGCCTGCCCGGCCGGTACCGCGGCGAGACCATGGCAGCCCGGTCGGACGAGCTGGGCCGCGCGGCGGTCGAGTCGTCCCGCGCCAGAGAAGGGCCCGCGAGCCGCGGCGGCAGCAGATGGTCGAGCCCCGGCGCGCCGCACGACCGCAGCGTCAAGACGGACATGAACGACGTGCCGCAGAGCAAGGCCGTCGGCATGGCGAGAGAGGCCCTGAACAGGGGCGGCGGCGGCATCCTGAGTTCCAGCCCGGGGAGGTCAAGCACTGCCGGGGACAGAGAGCGCAGGAAGAGCGTAAAGTTTGCAAGGACAGACCGCTGATGTATTTGTTTCTCTTTTTTATTTTTGTTTGTTCACTTTGGCGTTTACAACAAATACCCCTGGTTCTCGTGGAGCGGACTCGTGTACGGCGGCAGGGCGGCAGGGCGGCAGGGCGGCAGGGCGGCGGGATAGTTCAAGTTTTGGCGCAGGCCAAGGTTGTAGAAATCATCACCAGGCTCAACTTGTCACGTTTCATCCCCAGCGACTCCGTATGTAGTTTCGGCCACCACGTCCGCCAACCACGCACATGTAGTCGCGCGCACACAGCGGACGCCACGAGGGTAACAAGTAAGGATCAAGCCAAGCCCGCAATGCAGCGTCAAACAGTCAAGATTTATAGACGCCACGTATGTATCTACAGCTGGGTGTTTTTCAACATGTCCAGGGAGGCTCCCCCCCCCCTTCTCCCGCGGAACACGGCACGGGGGCGGGCGAGCACGTATCCAAGCCTCGCCAGGCTCATGGCGTTCATGGCGTGGTGCTGGCGGCACCGGGCACTACGCGACGTTCTCTCTCAGCCCCTTGGTCCGCAACGTGAAGCTCGCGTCGTCCCCGAACGGCAGCAGCCCGACGCCACTGTCGGCTCCCCAGCCATCGCCGCGCTCGGGGCTCGCAACCTCGCCGTCTGCGCTTCCCCTCCTGCTGCCGCCGGCGCTGCCGCCGCCGCCGGCCTCTGCCACGGCGCCCACGCGGCTCTTTAGCCTGCCGGCCCAGAGGCCCCTGACGCCGCCCTTCTTGCGCCCGGGGACCTCGTCTGTTCCGGCGCTACACACGTACAGGAGGTACTTGAGGTTGGGGAGCGAGTGCCGGATGTCGACGACCTTGAGGCCCTGGGACGCGCAGAGCGCCTCGATGTTCTTGTTCAGCAGGAACCAGCCGTACTCGAAGCGCCACTGGGCGACCGTGGAGCCGCCCCGCGGCAGGTAGAGCGGGAACTGGCGCCGCCGGGGCTGCCGCCGGGGCATGTGGGAGATGTCGTCTCTGACGTAGGACCTGGAGCCGCACGGGGACAGGGGGTACGGCAGCGGGCAGGAGAGGTAGAACTGCAGATGCCAGGTGAGCATGGCGGCCAAGCCCAGCGCCGCGGAGAGCACGTCCTCGTTGACTGCCCTGGCCGTGGCCGCGTCGTACGTGGAGTTGGGCAGTGGCAGGTTGCGGATCTGAAAGGCCAGCGGGGGCGCGTCGGGGACCGTGGCGATGGGGAACATGTCCGACAGCTCCGAGCATATCCTCCGCCTCTGGCCGCGGATCTGCTGCCCCGTCTTGCGGAGCAGCTCGGCCGACGCGGCCAGCTTCTCGCGGTTGTTGGCGATGTCTTGCTGCGCGGCGGCCTGGGCCCGTCTGCCCGAGGAGATCGCCTCCCTCCTGCTGCGGAGGGAGTCCAGCAGCTCGTCCCGTCGCTTTCGGGCCGTCTTGTTTGCCCGCTGCTGCGTGGCCACCAACTTGTCGGCGAGGGAGACTTGTTGGGCTGCAAAGGGGGCGGGGTCGCCCGGGGACTCCTCGAGGATCTGGTTGATTTGCCGCGTCACGGCGTGCTGGGTGTCGACGGCGTCTCGGATCAGACTGTCGAGGTTGGCGAGCTTCATGAGCGCCCTGTACGAAGATGTCGCCGCGGGGGGGGCTTGCCTGGCTTGCTTGGGGTCGGCCGTCCTGGGAGGGAAGTCGAGCGAGTAGACGCCGTCTTCGAGGTGTAGTATGACGGCGTTGGGGGGGAATCGGCGGTCCATCAGCGTGCCGACGAAGTTGAGCCGTCGCAAGTCTATCAGCTCTTGGAGGAGGAAGACCCACGACGGTTGCTGGGGGCGCTTTGCCCAGACACGGATGCTGACGATGCAGGACCTCGACACGGGGGACTCCTCGGCCGAGAGGTCAAAGAACTGGAAGTTGAAGTTCTGCAGCAAAAACAACAGTCAGCTTGTCGGGTGGACATGGAGAGCGCGAGTTGACGGGTCTGCCGAAGCCCGAAGCGTATATATCGTACCGCCGATCGACTGCGCACTTCGCTAATGTAAATGGGCGCCGTGGACTCGGGCACATGGAGCGAGAAGAAGACGTCTCCGACGGAGGCTTCGAGCAGGCTCTCCAGCTTCTTCTGGCGCACCGAGGGACTCGCATGCGAAAGGCTCAAGCTCGTCCTACGAGGCTGGGCGGGCGGCCGTCTCTTCTCGGCGCGCAAGCCATCCCGGAGCAGGCTGTCGGACGAGCGAGACGGGTGCAGGTGTCCGGCGTCGCGTAGCTTGACGAGCTTGCTGGGGCTCCCGAGTACGGCTGCATCGTCGGCGGTGTGCGAGGTGGCCGGGGCAAAGGTCAGATTCCGCAACGAGAGACCTTTGAGATGGCGCAGCTTGCGGTTCTGAGGGAGCAGACGCGGTCGCCGGGGCTCCGAGAGGGTCGACATGCTGCACGCATGCATGCCTGCCGAAGCAATTGCTGCGCTATCGATGGCTCATGCCATGGGCGAGGCGTTGAGTAGGGGGTGGCCGAGAACACGCGGTTGGGGAGGATCCTGGCCGCTTTCACCGTCGCAGGATGTCGTCGTCGTCGTCACTTTTGTCACTTGCGACACGTCGCCAATGACGCGCGCTACTCGCCGGAGTAACTTGGAACCCGCGGGTGCTCTTTAGGGTTAGGGTTGACCTTGCACATGAGGCGGCATGTCACATGACTGTCGCAAATCTCATTGAAAAGCTAACTACTAGTGCCGATTCGTCACGGAAGCCACATAACATCCTCCAGTATGCGTGTCAAGATAGAACAAGGCATGGCTTCAACAGTTGTTAATTCCTCAACCCCCACCCTGAGTCTGAGTGCTCGGGGATACCCCCGGTATTCATACACTTTCAGCACTTGTACTCTCCGCAATCTCAATCCACACGTGACCACTCGCTCATTCCAACAATGCGAAAGCGTCAGGCCGTCCAGGATACAATAGCTGCCACAGCATCTCGGCATGAATCTGCTGCGAGAATGTTGGCCAGGCAGAAATACGTAGCTCGTCCACGGTAGGTGCGTCGGTCAACATCACATTCTGCCTCGGCCCCCAGGGGAACAAAGCTCATGTGTCGCTTGAAGACCAGCCACATTGCGTGTTGCACGGCCGTCGTGTACATCTTTTCCAGAGGCCATCTGATGTCACTCAGGGTAGTTTGCGCACCGCGGTCCCGAGTGCTTCTTGAAAGATCATCAGTCGTAGCAGTAGTAGGCCCGTGGGCCCGAAGCAGCACCTCTACAACAATACAACATCTGTCTCGGCCGTGAAGCCCAGAATACGCCTCGTCAGACTGTCCCGGGAATTTGGTCCATCGCTACCCACGAATACTCGGTGAATCAAGTGAATGGTGAGTGGTTGATTACAAGCACGTGTGGTGAAATGCCGACATGCGTTGATGGTAGTTGAGCGGTGATGGGGAGGATGGCGAGCCTGGCGAGGACCAGAGGACTCAATCATGCCTTCTTATTTGACGGGGAGTGAGCCCAGCCCCTGTACGTCACAGGCGTAGAGAATAGATGGACTGATGTTTCAACCGGGGCGCGAAGACGCCTAGATGTGCAGCTTCTTCCTGGGTTCAGACACCGTGTGTGTGTGAGTGACTTGCGCATCCCACAAGCGACCAAGCCGCCGCACGACCTTGAGGAACCGCGATCCACGCACGACACCTTACCAGCAGTGGCGTGACCAGAGACCCTGACGTCTCTGCCCAGGTCTTGTTCGCGCTCCGGCCGAGCCCTGGCCAGCCAGCGCTCAACACCCGGTGTGGTCTGCGTGCGCACCTTGGGACTCGGCCCGGACCGCTGCTGTGACACCGGCGCACCAAGAACTAGTCACCCAGAGATAGGTTTCGTGTTCCCTACCTCTCTTCATGCTGATACCAGAGTGTCTCCGGCAGACCATGACCAGTGGGACGATAGATCAACCAGAGTAGTCTCAGAAGCTCTGCCATCAAACGGCTTTGCGCTCGCACCAAGGGCCGCAAAACAAAGTGGTGACCACCGTTCTTCGCTGGGTACAAGTCTATTACCTATATCAGCATCTGGGCAGATGAGAAATACGCCCAGTCTTCATGCGCTAACTATTGCCGCCGCCCGATCCGAGCCCCCGTTCAAGCTGCAATTCATCCGCCGCTGTCAAGAAACAGCTGACGCCATAGACGCCTTGGGTTTAAGGAGGAAAAAGAATAACGCCCTTGAAACCCCACCAAAACAACACAACAGATGAAGACAAATGAAAACAAGTCGATCGACCAAGTAAGACAAATTAAAAATACACAATCTAGGACATTGTCACAGACGGCATCTCCTCCTTCCGATGTAGGCCGCCAAAGCGCCGCTTGAGTCCCTCGCCAAACTTTTTGCCGGAGGAGTAGGTTCGGCGCAACACCCCGTCTGCGTTGTCGGAGAAGGTGACGCCGCTTGATGAGCCCTCGCCGTTATGGCTGACGCTCCGGGAGTGGCCTCCCGCTTGCCTGGAGAAGACGCGGGCGCTGGGTCGCATCTCGAAGGCATCAGCCTCGCTCAAGTGTTGCCTATGACGCTTTCCTCTCTTCAGGTCGCGCTCCAGCGTGAAGGACGGTTCGCCCTTTCCCTTGAGATCGTCCGGGTGGTATTGCTGCACACAGATGTTAGCTAGTTTCTCCATTTTCAGGGAGCCTGGGGATTCCACTGACGAGGCCGTCCCATCGCTTGTACGCGCCGCCCTCGGCATCAGGCTCCCTCATCAAGTCGGCGCCTTCCCGATAGCGCATTAGTCGACCACTGGAGTCGCGCGCACCGCTGGGAATGGAAGCAACGCCTTGAAGGGGAACGTGTTTTATCAACGAATCCATGATGTTCTCGCGGGGTGTCGCGCGGATGGCCTCCATGTTGGACTCTCGCACGGCCGCGACGGGGGAATACTTCTTGTTCAGATTGCGACTGATCAGAGTTGCGTCGTAGGGACCGCCATGATGGTAGGCGCCACCAATTGTGTCGAGGGCGTCAATTGTGTCCGTGTCTGAAATGCGCTTGCGATGGCGACGAGGCCGATCGGCGGCCCTTGCCTCGAGCTTGAGCATGTCGAGCGGTCGGTGGGACATGTCTCCAGGAAATCGCTCGCGAGGGCGGATTTTTCGGCGAGGTTGACTGTAAGGGTCAGGATAATTGCTGGTGTCTTGGCAGATTCGACGGGCCTTGTCCAGGGCACTGTCAAGCTGGGTGGGCGGATACACGGGGCGGGAGTGGGAGCGGGAGTGGGAGTCACAGCCCCTCGGGATCGATGGTAAGGTATCGACGGTAAGGCCGACGTGGCTGCGGCGGGATGGAGATGGAGGAGGTTCGTAGAAAGAGTGAGTGCGGCGGCTGTGGTGGTGGTTGTTGTGTTCGGCGCGGATGACGTGGCCGGCGCTGGCGATGCTCTTGCGAAGGTTGACGATCCGAGGTGTCGAGGCAGGGGTAGAAGTAGAGTCGGAGTCAGAGTCGGTGGAAGGCCGTCGACGCAGGTTGAAATGGCATGGGAAGTATGACGTCGCAAACGGGTCCAAGTCGTGGCCGAAGTCGCCGTCGAGGTCTTGGTGGCAGCTGCAACGAGTGGGACTGGCCGAAGGTGGAGGGGTGGGATATCGATGCTGGGGACGGCGAGGCGAGGTGGCCTGCTTTTGCAACTCGACGTGTCGGCGGGTTTCCTTGATGATGGCCTGGGCCTCGGCCTCGGCCACCCTCTCCCTGGCTGCAGCGATGTAGGGGTTGATGTGCGATGTGCCCAGGCCTGTTTCTTGGCTGGGCTCAGGCGCATTCAAGGGATCCAAAAGATATTCTCGAGCCTGGTGTAGTTGACGTGTGTAGTCGCGGTCAGCAACTCAATCAATGACGATCCTGAGCACGGGAGGTTATTTGAATTGGAAACAGAAAAGGCAGGGGATAGAAATTAGGCAGATGGCGGCGTAATTGATGATGGTTTTGTATTTGTAAGAATGTGATGGAATGAAAGCCGCGCAACATGAGCTGATGACATGACTAAGTACCCAGTCAAGCAACTTGTTGGACCTGTCTGCGAGTCTGCGAGGGTACGTAAGCAGCCTTCTTGGAAGCAAAAGCCTAGCGCCATCCACATCCACGGACCACGGGCAGGGTCAAAGGTCAAAGGGTCGCCCGGACCCTTCGGCATCAGGTCCAATCACCCATGTGGCGGCTGGCTGGCAGCTGGCTGGCAGCTGGCAGATGCCAGATGCCAGACTGGACCGAATGGCTGTCGTGGCTGACCATGGCTGAGCCAGTCATCGGTCATCCTGACCAGTCGGCTTCGCAGGTGGCATCGCGAGCGGGCCCCCGTCAGGATCCTCTTTGGAATGCGCAGGCGTCTTCTGCAGGGATCGATCGACTCGGTCCATGATGGATGCAACTCTGCAATTGCCGCCATGGACCGACCACCGACAAGCAAGTCTGACTCGGCATGCACGACATGCACACAAGTAAGTTGACTTTACTCACCCAGATGGTGTCGTACTTGAGCTTCTTCTCATTCTTGCTCTCGCCGTCCCCTCGGCGGAACATGCTCCTGATGCCCATCCTGTCGGCTCGGCCCTGGGTGGCTATTTTTGTTTGAGTTTGTTTGCTTGCTTGCGGGATGCGGGAGCTCTGAGTTGTCGTCCGTCTCGACTCGGGTGGGTTGCCGGTTTTGATGGTCTGACGAGAGCCGTGTTTTTTGTCGCGGCTGCAATCAATCAAGAAGAGAACAAGACCAGTTGAACCGGCTCTGTTAGAAAACAAAACACAGCAGGAAAACAAGTCGGGCAAAAAGAACAAAGACAGGGCAAGAGAATCCGATTCCTTCATTTATTATACGCACGGAGTAGACAAGCACACTATCGTGAACTAGCCTCTCGCCACGAAACTGACTCAACAGCCACCTTCGGCCCGCGCAGCGATCTACCCACGTTCTAGGGAGAACTGACGTAACTAGCAAAACTATATGGTCATCAACGGGGTACTGCACATACGTACGTACGTGCAGACGCGGCAGTGGACACGAGCGGCGGCATGGCGGCATGGCGCCGAGCGAACATGGAATTTGGTCTCATGTACTCGGCATGATGTTGGTCAAACCCGGACCGTTGACGATTGAGCCATGGCCACCAGGGGCAATGGTCCGTCTTTGTTCTGTCTGCTTTTGTTTGGGCCACAAGGAGGCCGTTGCGTCGCGGGAATCAAAGGCGATTCCCCGACTTCAAGACGCGACCACGACATGTTTCCCCCCTTTCCAAACACCATCGCCAACCCAGTCGTCTCTTCTCTCTCGCATCATTTATTGTCACTCACAACCTACCTGCAGAAAGAACCAAACGCCCTCATGAGTCAGCATGTACGCGTGTCACTCCTCCCTACCGAGCATCGCGTCCCATGGGTCCCCAGATGTCCCCGCCGCAAAGCTTGTAAAGTCAAGCACGGCGCCAAAAATCTTGACATCAAGCTCGGGTGAAACTTTACAAGCGCCCATCCAGAGCCCCCCACTCGGACCCAAGACTCGTGGAGATTTCGGCGCTACACTCAGTTTTTCAGACCAGTCACCTTTTTAAGATTGTGTAGTCGTAATCTGCAATTTGACAAGGTGTGCTCCGTACGTAGCCGACAAGAAGTCTGATGCTGTTTGAACGTGACGGTTGTCGGTGAAAAGTACGTGATACTTGTGAACCATGTAAAAAAAAAAAAAAAAAAAAAAAAAAAACGTTTCTGCAAGTGCCACAGCCTACAGGCAGAAACACCATGCGGAGGAATTATGCCTATTTTAAACTTTGCCTAGGGGAAATAAGGCCCTTGTCTCATGTCTCATCTGCCCGACATTGACGAAGCTGTCAACTGCTTCGCCTCTCGACTTGCTTAGGCATTGCGCTGTTGATTTCCACGCCGTCCGTCGTCTGAACTGTCACGTCGAAAAACGGGTGTAGTATGCCACCGTATATCCTATGCGGCATTAACATGTGAGCAATGGACTCTTGCCCGGGACAGATATGAAATGCGAATACGTGGAAGTGGGAATCTATTGTACGAGATGTGCGTGCGGAGTATGGAGAATCAATCCCCCAAAGAGCCTCCTGCCTAGCAGAGTCCAAGGAAAAGGAACAAAAGATTGAGGAGTGTGAAGAGAAGCTTAAGGGGCGTTCGCCTCATGTTCAGACGGTGGGGAACCTCGAGCAGAAAACGCCGTCGAGGTAGCAATTGGAGCAGGAGAAGCACATCCTTGAAGGCACCGGCCCCAGAGCTGGAGCTTGAACCCTTCCAAGTCGTCGTGGCGCTGGTGGCTAGACTTTCCGGGACGAGTCTGGTCTGGCCAACTTGTCTCTTTGTGATCTTCGGCAGTGGGATTCTGACATGGATTAGAATCATTTGGATGGCGGTTAAAAGACAAACAAATAGACATGGGTGCCATGCCTTGGAGACTATTGATGGGTGGGTGTGCGGGTACGGTGTGTTGTCTGCGTCTTGTGAATTTTTGCTTACTTGTCCAGTTTTAGGTAGGTAAGTGCCTAGCTCAACTTGTACCCACCCGTCCGGTCACGTGAAGCAAATACTCCGCAGTCAAGACATCTCGCACGTATCGACGCCCAAACAAACGCCCAACTCTACTCCGACGCTGGCGCATTGCCAGTCTTGCCCTGCGCCGGCGCCAGTTTCGTCCCTGCCCAGAAATGTTCGCGAAATCCCACCAGACGCAAAAGCTCTGCAGGGCCAGCTCCCGTAGGCAACACGTCCGGACAGGCACCAACGACCAGTTTGCACCGCTGCATCTGTCATGGGTCTGGTCGACTACTCCTCGTCCTCTGACGATGAAGCTTCAACGCCACCCAAGAAGCGCCTCAAGGGGCAACGTGATCTCTCCGACTCCAACATACCCCCTCTGCCTGCTGCCTTCCACAATCTGTACGCGTCTACCGTCCGGCAGAGCGTAGTCGATGACCCAAGCTTGCACCAGGGGCGGAGGCGGCTCAATCCTCATGTGCCCGGACACTGGCCCACGCATCTCTATATCGAGTGTACGTCTCTCGAGGAGACTAGTTGTCAAGTTTGTGTATGCTGACTGCCGGGAAAGGGCACCCGACCAAAGTGCAGCACGACACGCTCCAGGGCCTCATCAAAAGGACTCAACAAGAGCTCGGCGACGGTGTCCAGCTTCACGACTTTCTCAACAGCCATCTTGGAACCGACTTGCCTCTGCATATTAGTCTCTCGCGACCTCTGAGCTTGCCTACACCAATCAAGGACGACTATCTCTCCAAAGTCGAACATGGAATTCGCAGTTGTGGAACGGGTGTTTTCTCGGTCAAACCCTCCGGATTGGCGTGGTACAAATCCCCAGATTCAGATCGCACATTTTTCGTCCTACGCGTCGTCACTTCTGCTCTTACAAAGCGTACAAGCTCCCGTGACGATCTCGGACATGTGCGACTGTCGACCAATCCGGAGCTCACGCTGCTTTTGACAAGGTGCAACACGGTAGCAGCGCATTTTGATCAGGCCCCTCTTTATCAACAGACGACAAAAGAGCCTGTGGATGCGGCGTTTCACGTCTCCATTGGATGGACACTGGGGGCGCTCGAAGAAGAGACGTGCCTGAAAGTGTTGAAGTTCTTTCGAGACAAAGAGTTTGAGGACATATCCGCGTGGAATGTCAAGGTGGACGGGGTAAAGGCCAAGATTGGCAATGTGGTTACCCATATACCCTTGGCGGGAAACGTCACGACAAAAAGCGACGACGACCTTGCAGACTCGCTATACTGTTCATGAAGAAACCGTGCCATAGCAACAGCGTTGAGGTCAACATAGCATTTCAAAGCAGAGGAAGCTTCCGGCCAATCTTGAAGCCCAGACGACGTGTTGAGTTTGATACACGATCAATCCGCCTTTTTAACTGGAAGAGTCGACTGGTAGTTCAGCAGATTGTTTTTCAATCACTGGCTACTCAGCCATGTAAGCACTTCACAGTGTATCCATGTATAGACGCGCTGGGAAGGATACTCGGCGTGTGGGCGCACCCGAGGTCAAAGGTTGGGTCGGGTATAAAAAAACCAATGCTCTCCTGCTTCCTGATTGCGGTGCTTCCGTGGATGTCTGTCACGACTCGTGGTTGGCGACAAAAAAGAGACAGCTTGAGGCCTGCCCGGATCGAACGGACGACCTCCCGGAATCTCCGAAAACTGGAATCGGGCTCTCTACCGCTGAGATAAGGCCCCGCAAGCGTTGCGGGCGGGTTCATATTTGTGGCTATAGACGTCGACCATGAGCCGGGCTTCGAATTACGCATTCGACGAGACGGGGGCATTGTCTGTGGTTGGGTGGCCTTGTTTGTGAGACCACATGCAGTGATGATTTGCTACTGCTTAAGCATACATGCTTGAGCGCTTGTGACAAAGGAGTGACTCCATGTGTATTTGTTAAACAAGGTTACGGAGCGCATAGGACGCGCCGAGCGCAAAGGACATGGGATCGCTGGAGACTAGTTGTAGTTTTCTGTGCAGCAAGTGTGTGCACAGTGCGCGCATGAGGTCGGCGGTGGACACGATGGATGTCCTTGCACGGCCTCAGCCCTCGAATTGTCTAGACCTGCAAAAACCAGGCACAATGTGTCATCGGGGGATTTCACCAGGGATGCCGTGACTTATAAGCTCGCCGGCTACACGTCACTGCATAAGTTGTGGTGACAGGATCACTTCACTTTTGCTTTCTGTCTGTCTGTGACATCTGCCTGATGCGTACTCCGTACCCACTCTAAAACCGTTCCGCCCGGACTTTCGATTCTTTACTAACTAATCCTGGCAACCTGCCTTCGCTGCTGGCCCCTCCACGCACCTGACCGTGCCCTTTCTTTTCTTTTTCTTTTGCTTTTTTCTTCTTTGTTTTCTATCCCGCCTTCAATCAGCCAGCAGCTTGTGTTCTTGTTCTTTGACTTGCGAGCTCGGACGCGACTTGTACTGTATATTGCCACCAGGTGCGCCTCCCAGAGCTCGCCGCCACCGACTCAACCTATCCATCCAACAAGCACATCGTGTCTTGGGCGAAAAGGGAAAAAAAAACAAACCCATCCCACAATCCATCCACTCGAGGCCCTCCGCCCCTCCCCTCCCCGCACCACAACTTGGACGCATTGGCCCTTCACGCGCCAGGGAGCCGTGCTCGAGAGCTTTCTTCCCCTCCAAATATTTTCCAATCCTAAAAGTCCGGGGGGAAGACAATCGATCCGTGTGCTCACACTCGGCCGCAACAAGTGGTGAGAAGAAGACTTATCTCAGACAAAGCCCGTCACTGCAGTTGCGCGGCAAAGTTGCCACAGGCCCCTCGCCATTTCGAGTCAACAAACCCTCGTTGCCTACGCCGACGCGAAGCAGAAGACATGGATATCGACATGAGCCGCCGGAACAAGGTCCCTCGGTCCTTGTCAGACGCCGAAAGGGCGCGACTTGACGAGTATATTGACTCAATTCACTATTCGGGGAGGTAAATACGCAGACTTGAAAATGGGTGCTTCACCGCCGTCGGTTGTGTCGCGGGGGGTTACCGCAAATCCAAAATGCTGACCAAGGCGTGTTTTGTTCTTCTCTTCCTCTTCAAATCCAGATACTCTGACAGCGAATACGAGTACCGACACGTGCAACTGCCCAAAGCGATGCTCAAGGCTATCCCCAAGGACTATCACGATACCTCCAAGGGAACTCTGAAGCTCCTGTGGGAAGAGGAATGGCGAGCGATCGGTATTACCCAGGTACGCAGTCTCCTGTCCGGCTTGGAGGCCATGGCCGTGTTGTCTCCTTTTCCTCTTCTTCTTCTTCTTCTTCTTCATTCATTCAATTTTTCCCAATGGCATGTGAAAAAAAGCAAATGTTTCGGAGGGACCAAAGATTGACCGACCACTATTACCACAGAGTCTTGGCTGGGAGCATTACGAGGTCCACGAGCCTGAGCCCCATATTCTACTTTTCAAGTAAGAGTTGCCGTCCTGATGTAGGCCAAAGCGGCCGGGCTTGCTCCCTCCAAGCTAACATATGCCCCAACGCAGACGTCCCCTCAACTATCAACCGCCTCAGTGAGCGATTCGTCATTCTTTTCAGTTTGAAGCCTCATGTACGATAGTCCCCATTCCGCCACTTCCACCGCCGTCGGACCCTGCTGCATGTGCGGCTCTTGTTTCATGCCCTCTCACGATATTACGGTCTGCACTTTACGATATTTGGGTTGATAGAAATATCAATACACCACGGTCGAGAACGCCTTTGCCCTCACTGGCAATGCGCACTTTTATTTTTATTTTGTCTTCATGGCGTGCTGCTTGTCGCTCCTCAATTGATGACGCCTCATTGGATGTATTGGATGTTTTGGGGCCACGGGTTGGATGCGTTGCTTGGGGCTTCTCTGGGCGTGCCGCATGTTTTTACTACTACATGGCGTGGCGATGGGACACGGAGGGTATTGACTTTGGAGAATTCTCTTGTTTGCTTCCTAGAGATTTGGGTGTTGCTGCGCCAGCTTGGGAATGTCTCTTTTGGCCTCGTGCTGAGGGTTCATGTGCATTTGCCACTGCACGGCGCGAGACAGCGGCTTCGCAGACAGTACCCGGGAGTTGGTGGATACTTAGAATGTAGACGGGATTGATGAACACGTCAACTACGAGTTGTTCAAGTTTGGTCCCTGTAATTGCGAAAGTGCTCGGCACGTCGCGACAAATGACGGCATGCGTATCCATCCACCCAGGGTACTGTCAAGTGATAATTGCCACACCCTGGCGCTGCTCGTGATTGAACGAAGCTTGGCATCATCATCATCATCATCCGACGACTTATGAGCCCGGCAGATTCGCTGCATGCCGACGTCGCAACGCCCGAATCGAGTTTCGACTCGTTCGTTTGCTAGGTGACGGCCGGCTTGGCTGCCTGCCGAGCGATACACGTGCTGCTTCCCATCACGAAACGGCGTAATCGTCCAGGAACCGAGTGTTGCAGTAGTAGTGTGGTCCCACCATTGCGTGGCTGTCACGCCACGACTAGCCAAAGTCAAGGCTACATGACATGTACGTGCCTGCGGAGTAGTCGGGTTTGTTGTCAGACCAGCTTTGATAACTTACTGCCTTCACACATGAGGGGTGTTGTAGACTGCATCAATTGATGCCTTACGGAGTACGGAGTACATGTGAGGTTATGCAACAGATGACATCCAATGCGGGCGTTAGCGCCGTGGCATGATTGGAGACGTTGCATCACATCACAGTTTCCCGTCTCTACCGGGTACGGAATACTCCGTGGGTAGGTGAGATGATTGTTGGGACCAAGTGGAAGGAATGCAGGGAGGCGCTTGCCAGAGAGAAACACGAAGACTGGCTGGAACTGGCTACCAGCTGAGAGTCTGAGACAGACTTGCCCCTGTCCCGTGGCGTGGCGGGGAACAGGAAGAGGCCACATCGTCACTTCCATTTTGGCCCTTGAACGCGATTCATGAATACCGCCGTGGATTGCACACCTGGCAGGCCGACTTCTCCTCCTTCCCTCTCTCCATCCATCCATCCATCCTTCGCCCTCCCGCTCGATGCCTGCGTGAAGTCTTCCCCACAGACGCGAGTCGGTTCGGATTACGTAGAAACTGACTTTAAGTGGTCCCATCAATCGATCCCGCTCCGCCGTCTCCGCATCGCAAAGCCAAGTTCTCACCAGCCTGGATTAATCATCAGACAGCGTGGCATCTTTCGTGTCAGCCTACGCGGCATTGTGTCGCGGGTTCCGTTTTATTTCTTTCTTTTTCTTTTTCTTTCATCTTACTTGGTCCCCAGAGATTTGCTTTTCTTTGCGAGAAATTTGACTTGAGAGCTTGACGCACTTTTGGAATTCTACGTAGACAACAAAATACGCCGTCGGCAAGTCCGGGTCGGAGCTTTTCTAGCTTTCATCTTTCCAGCCACCCCAGTCAAGCTCGCGCCCTGTTGACAAGATAAGTGGCCCTTGGAATTTCCTCGAAACTGGCAGCTGGCCTTTTCGCTGCCTTGACGAAACACCACCCTGTCAACTACAATCCACGAGATTGCGAAGCCAAAGCGCCTGTTTTCGGGGCGGCTTGATCTCGTCAATTGCAAAGCGCACCATGACGTCTGCGAGCAGGCTATTCTACCTCACCATTTTTACGCTCTGGGCATCGCCTGGAACTTGCGCCGCAGGGAGTGATGCCGATTATACAGTACGTTGTTCCTTGGGTGCGATTTGCTCCGCTGGCCGAGGCGTTTCTAACAGCGCCGTTTTGCATATTTCCCCAAAGTCCATTGTTCAAGATGCTTGCGCCTCATGTTCAACTCTCGAGGAGCTCAATCAACGGGTGAAGCCTGCGCTTGACGACCTCACGCAAACGACCGACTTCTTCTCCTACTACCGCCTGAATCTGTTCAACAAAAAGTGTCCTTTCTGGAACGACGAGAATGGGTTCTGCGGCAACATAGGATGTGCCGTCGAGACGGTCGACAACGAAGAGGACATTCCCGAGGTGTGGAGAGCCAAGGAACTGTCAAAGTTGGAGGGACCTCGTGCCAAGCACCCTGGCAAGCAGGAGCGCAAGGAGCACCTCCAAAGACCCTTGCATGGGGAACTGGGAGACGACGTGGGTGAAAGCTGCGTGGTCGAGTACGACGACGAATGCGATGAACGAGATTACTGTGTCCTCGAAGACGAGGGCGCCTCGTTCAAAGGCGACTACGTGAGCTTGCTCCGAAATCCAGAACGCTTTACCGGATATGGTGGGGAGGGCGCCAAACAGGTGTGGGATGCCATCTATCGAGAAAATTGCTTCCAGAGGAGTTCGTTCTCGCAATCGGCAAACCTCGGCCAGTCTCTCAACTACAACGCGGCGGCCCAGGACTTCAAGCACGTCATGGATGCCGCAGGACGGCAAGCCCAGCTCGAGGCGCAACGTCTGCAGCATCCCGACACGCCTTTCGTAGCCAGCACCGGATACGAGGCCGACGACGACTGCCTGGAGAAGAGGGTCTTTTACCGCGTCATATCCGGCATGCACGCGAGCATCAGCACCCATCTTTGCTGGGACTTTCTGAACCAGACCACCGGACAATGGCAGCCCAACCTGCAGTGCTACAAGGATCGTCTGCATGCACACCCCGACCGGATCAGCAACCTCTACTTCAACTACGCGCTCGTCACCCGGGCTGTTGCCAAGCTCGGCCCAGAGCTGGCGGGACCCGAGTACGTCTTCTGCACGGGCGACCCGGCCGAGGACCTGGCCACCCGCGTCAAGGTGTCCGAGGTGGCGAAGCAGGCCGGCAGCATCCCTCAGATTTTCGACGAGAGCCTCATGTTTGTCAACGGCGAGTGCCCGTCCCTCAAGGAGGACTTCCGCAACCGGTTCCGCAACGTCAGCAGGCTCATGGACTGCGTCGGCTGCGACAAGTGCAGGCTCTGGGGCAAGATCCAGACCAACGGATACGGCACCGCGCTCAAGATACTCTTCGAGATGGACAACCACAGCAACAAGATCCCCGTGCTCAAGAGGACCGAGCTCGTCGCCCTCTTCAACACCTACGCAAGGCTGGCCTCGTCCATGCAAGCCATTGGCAAGTTCAGGCAGATGATGGAAGCGGCCAGCGAGCCCGTTGCGCCCAAAGACGGGAAGCCCAAGGAGGCCCCGGGCGAGACGCACGACTCCTCCGACTCCTACTCCGACCCAACCCACCACTGGCGCCTGCTCGAAGACATGAAGCGGCGCGGCGCCAAGAGCGATTCGTTCCGAGACCAGTGGGCGCACGAGACTGCGCTCATCAAGCAGTCTCTCAAGGTAGTCCTCCACGGCTGGCTGCACGGCTCCATCCTCCTGTAAGTCTCGCGACACGCTTGGCCGTGCCCAAAACGTCTGCTAACGCGGCCGCTCTCAATCCCAGATACCGCATCGCAGTGGTCGAAGCGCACCGCCTCTGGCTGTACTTCCTCGGCTTGCAGCCAGGGCCGGGCCTGGTGGAATATAGATGGGCTCCCAAGGACAAGAAGAAGGAGCTGTGAGGGGTTTGCATTTTCGGCGTCTTGGATCCGCATTGCATTAGTTGGCCTTTACTCTTCTCATCTCTCCTTTTTTTTTTTTTTTGGGGGGGGCGTTTATACTTTAGTAGGCCTATCAACCTATGAAATACTGTACACGTGCGATTCCTCCATCTGGTGCGTGCTGGCGCCGTGTGTCGTGGAATGTCGGGCCATGGCTCGCGGCGGCGCATCATGTACACACGAGCAAATTGCGCAGCAACCGCCCTTGTATGTGTGAGTACGTTGACCATGGCCCCGTGTCACTCGTATCGCCGACACAGACTGCGTCGACGGCGCGCCCGTTCAAGCGGCGACGCGAGTGGCCAGAGTGGACTTGACCGTTGACAAGGAAAAATAAAACTCTGCAGCCGAGAAGAAAAGGCAGACCAACGGACTCGACGGGTGATTTCTTTCCGTTTTCTTTCCTTCTTTTTTCTTTTTTCCTAGGAAACTATTCCCAATGCAGAACAGATGTGTTTCTGTATGCGTTCCTTGCGAAATCTGCAATTTTCATTCTACAAAGCCTGAGCCTATAACCTGTTACAAATTACGTACATGGTGCACCTGATTAATATACAATATAGGGTACGTGTGGCCCTGCAATAAATACTCGAGTAAACAAGAAATGGCACTAGCAGTGTCTGCATTGCTGCTTTGTTTGGTTTGCGCCAGAGGCGGGGTTCGCCGGTTTGCTTTGCAGGAATCTATTGCAAGAAGCCAAGAATTACACGAAATGAAGCTTCACCGCTCACTCCTGACCTCTCCAAGGCTCTCCGAGGGTCGATGACGGTAAACATCAAGACTCGGACGCGACTGCCATGGACATGCTATCGATAAGTCCCTGCCGGCTGCTCGGCTCGGCGGGTCCAAAGTTCAATTCCCCGCCTTCAATCGAGCGTCCTGTCGTCAACGGTCCAGGTCTGTTCCGGCCACCAGCATCTGTCAACGTGTCAATTGCTCGGTGCGCTCATCGGGGTGCTCAATGCCCCACCACGCCCTGTTTTTAGTCTAGCGGTCCCGCTGCCATGCGCCACAGTATATTCTTAGTATAAAGGTATAGCAGCAAAATGCCCTTAATTAATTAAAAAGGTGCTTATATAATTTATATAAATTTCTTAATAGTACTATACTAGCAGGCTTTAAATTACTTAAAAATGTAATTTCTAGTGTTTTTACTTAATATATTTACTATTAAGCTAAATTTTCTAGTTATTCTAGCTGCTTAATTACTTATCTAGTTATATTTATTAGCTGTAATAGCAGCAATAGTATTAGAGAAATAAATTCCTTAATCTTAAGAGAGCTTTATCTTTTAATTAGTTCTCTCTACTTATTATTTATATTATAATTTAATTAATATAATAATAGTAGTAGCTACTACTAGTAGTATTAATTTCTTATAGTAGTTTTAATTTTAGCCTATATATACTCTCTTTAAATACTTAGTACTAAAAGCCTTTAACTGCTTTATTAAGATATTTAACTTAGTTATTAGCTGCTATTTTAGCTTATAAATTAGTATTAATAGTTTTTTCTATTTATTATAGCTTTCTGCTAGCAAGTTAAGATAGAAGCTAGATTATAAATATAAAGATATAAGTTATTAAGGCTCTAGATATTAAAGTTAGCTATAATTTCTATAATAATAAGTAGGAAAATTAAGTAGGCATTTACTAAGAGCTTTTATAGCTACTAGTAGTAATTAATTTTATTCTTCTAGAGCAGCTAAAAGTTAGTTTTCTTTAATAAAATATAATATATATAAGAAAGACTAAATTACTTAGTAAAATAGCTTATATAAAGTTAAAGAGCTTGCCTTCTAGCTTTATAAGCTTAAATAAGTTCAAATTGCTTAATTAAAAAGTTAATAGCTTTATAGAATATTTATATAGATAGCTTACTAAGCTATTCTTTGCAATTAATTAGGTATTATTACTTAACTTTATTTCTAGCTATATAAGTATAATAATTATACTCTTAAGTCTTAAGAGTTTAGTTAATTCTATTAAGAAGTAATAAAAAGTTACTTATTTCTATAAATAAATTAATTTTTATAGCTCTATAAGAATACTCTTAATATAAAAAAACTTTTCGGCCTCTAGTCTATAGCACTACTGCGCTAGCTTAAGACTGTCTTTAAAATATAAATTAATATAAAGACCTTCTTTCTTATACTTAATTGCCTCTACCTATAATGCTATATAGTAGCTATACTAAAGGCTAGGTAATAGAGAAGATGCTAATAGTTATTAATAGTAGTAATAAAAAGCTTACTTAAAGTTACTACTACTTAAATATAGAAAGAGAATAGTTTAATAAATAAGAACTAAGTAGTAATAAGCTACTTATAACTTAAGACTAACTTAATAAAACTTAAAAAGAAGTATATAATAAACTTATAGGCTATATTTTAAAGAGTAATACTCTTAAGAAAGCCTAGGCAATACTCTAGGTATATACTAAGGTAAAGGTATATTAAGCTATAACTAAAGCTATAATTAACTATAATAATACCTTTATAACTTAAAGATAGTTATAAAAAGCTATAATAATAGTAGTAAAGAAAGCTATAAAAATAGCTAAAAAACAATAATTATAAGTAAGTATTATAGCTAGAGTATATTTAGCTTAAGCTCTAGCTCTCTCTCTCTCTTTATCTTAATATAATAATATTATAAAGTGCTTATAAAAAAAGATATTATTATAGAAGTATATAAAGAGCAAGCTATAGCTAATATAGTATTAGCTATAAACTAAGCTATTAGCTATAATACTATAGTTACTATAAAGCGCCTACTAAGTAGTAATACTATAGTAACCTTCTAGAGAGAGGCAAAATAATATTAAGAGGAAACTAGCTAAGTTTAGACTGCTTTTAGCTTAAATATAACTATATATTAATAAGTACTTAATATAATTATTAAAGAGTTCTCTACTAAGTATATAAAGGTTAAAAGCTTTACTAAGAAGATAGTAAAGATAAATAAAGTAAGAGTTATATAAGAATACTTAAAATACTTAATAAGGTTTATAGACTATTAATACTTAAACTACTACTACTAGTAAATTATAATTAACTTTAACTTAAAGTTAAGTAGAGAATAGCTACCTAGAAGAAAGGCTATTTACTAAAGAGTAGAAATAAAACTAAGAATATAATACTTCTAGCTTAATAACTAGCTAGTATTCTACTATATATAAGCTGCCTTTTATTACTAAGAAATACTATAATACTAAGAATTAATATTATTTTACTTTTTTAAAATACTTAAGATATTATACTAAAATATTAATAAAAAAAATAACTTTATTTATATAGTACTTTACTACTAGCTTAATATTAACTTAATAGTAATATAAAAATAAAAATAAATAAAATAAAGCTAGCCTCTTAGCTTAAAGCTTAGCAGCTATAAGCTAGCATACTACTAAGGTAGAAATATAGTATATATTTATATTTAGTATAAGCCTAGCTAATAGTTAGTTAAAAATAGTAGTAAAGACTAAGCTAATATAAAAATTAAGGGAATTAAAGTTATATTACTATACTTAAAGCTCTATAAAAGCAAGAGGTAAAATATACCTCTATATAATATAGAGGCAAGAGAGGCTTAAGATAAGTATATATTAGTTAGAGACTTTAATCTTAAGTACCTACTTTAAAATAAGCTAGAGAGAACTAGCTAGAGCTATAAAGAACTACTAGTAATAG